AACCATTTATCGGATCATCAAGAACTTCAAGGAGAGAGGTTCAATTGTTGTGAAGAAGGCGTCAGGGCGCCCAAGAAAGTCCAGCAAGCGCCAGGACCGTCTCCTAAAGTTGATTCAGCTGCGGGATCGGGGCACCACCAGTGCAGAGCTTGCTCAGGAATGGCAGCAGGCAGGTGTGAGTGCATCTGCACGCACAGTGAGGCGAAGACTTTTGGAGGATGGCCTGGTGTCAAGAAGGGCAGCGAAGAAGCCACTTCTCTCCAGGAAAAACATTAGGGACAGACTGATATTCTGCAAAAGGTACAGGGATTGGACTGCTGAGGACTGGGGTAAAGTCATTTTCTCTTATGAATCCCCTTTCCGATTGTTTGGGGCATCCGGAAAACACCTTGTCCGGAGAAGACAAGGTGAGCGCTACCATCAGTCCTGTGTCATGCCAACAGTAAAGCATCCTGAGACCATTCATGTGTGGGGTTGCTTCTCAGCCAAGGGAGTGGGCGCAATCACAATTTTGCCTAAGAACACAGCCATGAATAAAGAATGGTACCAACACATCCTCCGAGAGCAACATCTCCCAACCATCCAAGAACAGTTTGGTGACGACCAATGCCTTTTCCAGCATGATGGAGCACCTTGCCATAAGGCAAAAGTGATAACTAAGTGGCTCGGGGAACAAAACATCAACATTTTGGGTCCATGGCCAGGAAACTCCCCAGACCTTAATCCCATTGAGAACTTGTGGTCGATCCTCAAGAGGCGGGTGGACAAACAAAACCCCACAAACTCCAAGCATTGATTATGCAAGAATGGGCTGCCATCAGTCAGGATGTGGCCCAGAAGTTAATTGACAGCATGCCAGGGCGGATTGCAGAGGTCTTGAAAAAGAAGGGTCAACACTGCAAATATTGACTCTTTGCATAAACTTAATGTAATTGTCAATAAAAGCCTTTGACACTTATGGAATGCTTGTAATTATACTTCAGTATACCATAGTAACACCTGACAAAAATATATCATAACACTGAAGCAGCGAACTTTGTGAAGACCAATACTTGTGTCATTCTCAAAACTTTTTGACCACGACTGTAGATTGTTTTGCATTATGGGTAAAATGCAGAAAAATACTGTTAACTGTAATTGAAAGCCTCCTGTGAAAATTACTTTACAGACTGTATTTATTTACAGTAATAGCTTATGCCTACTGTAGATTCAAATGTTCAGTTTCAGTGCCAACCTCATGCTGTCGGGTGAGACACATTAAGCTCAGACAATTTTAGTTTTTTTTTTAAACGACACTGAAGTGGAATACATTTTCAGCAGCTGCTGGGTAGGTACACTGTTAAAAAAACGTGTTGTTTTAACAGTATTATACAATAAAACTAACAGTAATGTACAGTACTAATTATTTACAGTAAAGAGCCATAAATTGCAATGTACTCTGGGTGATTTTAAGCGTAGCTGGTAAATGATACCGTAAATTCCAATGAAACATTGGTTTAACAATATACATTTCTGTAAAGAAGTACAATAGCATTTCAGTCACTGTTCACAATGATTGATTGCGTATGGCCCTTGTACTTCTGCTTCGTTGCTAGTTTCCCTTGGTTTGTTAACAATAGATGGAATGCAATTTACTCCACTGGGGTAATAACTTTTTGACCCTCGCAACCTCTGCAGATAAGCTTTGTGCCTCTTATCTGCCTCATTTTTTCTCTCTCTCTCTCTCGCTCTCTCTCTCCTCTCCTCTCTCTCTCGCTCTCTCTCTCTGAGTGTAAACATTACACTCAGAAGTTCCAAAAGAATAAAGACATTTCAAATGTCATATTATGTATATATACAGTGTTGTAACAATGTGCAAATAGTTAAAGTACAAATGGGAAAATAAATAAACATAAATATGGGTTGTATTTACAATGGTGTTTGTTCTTCACTGGTTGCCCTTTTATTGTGGCAACAGGTCACAAATCTTGCAGCTGTGATGGCACACTGTGGTTTTTCACCCAGTAGATAAGGGAGTTTATCAAAATTGGGTTTGTTTTCAAATACTTTGTGGATCGCTGTAATCGGAGGGAAATATGTGTCTTTAATATGGTCATACATTTGGCCATATCTCTCTCTCTCTGTCTGTCTGTCTGTCTGTCTGTCTGTCTGTGCATGCTCTTTTTTCCCTGCTGGAGGATTAGGCGATGCCTAGGCATGAAATGAATAGTCAGGCTTTTTATCCCTGCCCAAGCGTTTAGAGAAGAATGGATTTGCCTGGTCACTAGAACTGCGTCAACAAACGTGTGTGGTTGACGTCAAGGGTGGCACAGTGAGGGCATTGTTGCCTTTTAGTCACAATGATGTTTGTTTGTGTGAGATGGCTGGTTCTGCCTGAAGACTTAATGCACAGCTTCCTCTTCATCACATTCAGACAGCGCTTTGAAAAGTGACAGCTCCCAAGAGTTAGCGCGAGCCTGTGAGGCAGCAATAGTCTGACACGAAGAGAGCGCGCCATCTCACGCTAACCTCAGCCAGACCTGAGGTGTCAATCTCACAACACAGACACACACACACACACACACTCACACAGCATGCCATAAAAGGGCCTCGCCGTTCAACCTCCCCTCTCTGTGTCATATGCGTTCCAATCAGCTGTTAGCACTTATATACAATATGCACAGCTAACTAATGGCCAGGAAACAACAGGGGTTGTGTCCCCAACTCCTCTGAAACTATTTAACTGTTCAAGCTCCATTGAACTCCAACTATCCATTACTCAGTCTCAGTTCCTTAATATGAAGCCTTGTGAAGTGGGGGTTAACGATAGGTCAGTAAAGTACATAAAAGGGCCACAGTTCTAACAGATCCTGCGAGAAATCAACCGGTTTATCGACTTCCAAAAAGTGGACTCAAGTAGCCTAAACTTTGGTGTGTTGACTGTAACAGACCTGCTACACTGCAAGTGTAACTTGTACAGTGTGAGACACTCTCATTCATTTCAATTAAACTTGGGTGTAAGCAGCATGGTTGAGAGGCTCGCGCTGCTCAATGTCAAATATTGCTCTGGTTTCATTTTCAAGAATTCAATGCACGCGGCTCACGCCGAGAACACTTGATCAAGTGGCGCTTACGCTCTGCTCACTCCGGAAAAGTCCAGTGTAGCTCCCCTGGAAGTCAGTTGTCAGTATGATTACATGGTTTTGTCATATGGAGACATGGCAGTATTGTTGATATTTTTAAGAATTAGGTGTGTATGATGATGTCATATGGGTGCCTATGCTGTTGCCAATAGGCTACGTGCTGTTAACCATAGGCTAGATGCTGTAGCCAAATTACTTGAGACACTAGCCTATTTAGGCAGTCTTCCATAGCCGTCTTTCGCAGCCACCTAAAGCGAAACTGATCTGGTTTATCCAAAGTTTGGCTCTTATCACAAGTTGTTTCATCTTCCTTCTCTGGGGTTGGGTTTCTTTTGGATATCTGGACTCACTCCCGTTCATACGTGATGGGCAAGTTGTTGATGTGGTTTTTGTTTCAATTCCACTGTGTCAAATTAGGAGCCTGCCCTTGGTCTGTGTGCTTCCTTAATAATGAAAGTAGCACTTTGTTGCTATATTGAATGGGGCAATCACAGGTAATATGTTTTGTTTTGTTGTGCATGTCTGTGTTTGCGCACATTCCTCTATGTCTGTATGGGTCCATCATGTCAATAAATGACTGGTTTGGGCAATATTTTATGTAGGCTAGAATGTCCCCTTCAAAGCAATTGAACTACTAATTTACCAAGGGTCATGCGTTGATTTACTCAATTAAAATGCTACAACAACTAGGCGCAAGTGTACTTACTAACCCCTAGTTGACATTAGGCTACATTTGAATTGACATGCCATAAATCACATTGACAGTATCTGTGGATCATTAGTTGATAGATCAGGCTTGTTAGCATGTTTATTGCAGTGCTTATGTTGACTCTTCATAAAGATGGATGTTGGGTGTTGGCAATACTTTCCCTTTGTTTTTCCAGTTTTTCTTCTTTCATGGCCTGTGGATAGCGTCATAGTAACCTGCGGGGAGACAATGACTAAGAAGCGCTGTGAATTCTCTCTCTCGCTCGCTCTCTCGCTTTCAATTCAAAGGGCTTTATTGGCATGGGAAACATGTTTACATTGCCAAAGCAAGCGGAATAGATACTAAACAAAAGTGAAATAAGCTGTCAGAAATGAAACAGTAAACATTACACTCACAAAAGTTTCAAAAGAATAGAGACATTTAAAATGTTGTATTATGGCTATGTAGATAGTGTTGTAACAATGTGCAAATAGTTGAAGTACGAAAGGGAAAATAAATCTCTCTCTCTCCCTCCCCCCTTCTTTTTCTCCATGCAAGGCCAGTATTAGTATTGTATTATTAGTATTGAAGGATCTCAGGGCGGACACTCTAACCACGAGGCCACTAGAAAGACCAAGCCACACTCTAATTGGTCCCTTTAGCTGGACTGAGGAATTTCATGGGGGTCTGGCAAAAAAGGTGTGACAGATATTAACGACGCACAATATATCAACCTTCATATTGCTATATTTCTATGCTGATATTGTGACAATATTTTTTAGGTCTATATTGTTGCCTAAACCAAATGTGATGCCCCCATTGTGTAACTTTTACAAAGTGTCAAAAAATTACAGTAAAGAATTGTGGCTGCATTCATGATCTGCCCAGAATTTTCGTATCGGTGCATCCTTAGGCCTACTAGTCCGAAAAGAGGTGTCTGTTTTTACGATGATGCGCCACTTACTGTAGGCCTACATGGTTAACACAACCCAAGACAGGTCTTCCATTTTACATTCTTTCCCCCTTCTGTTAAAATAGCTGCAAGAATGGAAAGTTCACCCAGGACAGGGCCCGAAACCTACCTCCATTTGTCAAATGTAACCCAAGTCCCCTGTGCATCGCTCATTCAGCGGTCAAGCCTAATTACAAATGCGCGGGTGTGTCTTTTTACTTTCTGAAGGGCTTCCAGGTGTATCGTTATAGGGCCCCAGAGCACACCGAAGGAGATCAAAGCGCTGCCCTACGGGCGTCAGCTCCTGTTACCCCACGCGCTCAGCTCCTGCCCTTTAATTGATTAAGTCATTCTCAAGCCCACACCCCACCCTAGATCGCATATTGCACCGCAAAGTGCTCTCTTGCCTCCACCTTTCAAAACACTACATAAACAGCACTCAATCTCCAGGTTCTGGACAATACAGTCCCCACAATCAACAAGCTCAACAGCTGTTACCACATTTCTCTCTGTCCCAAATGGCACCCTATTCCCTATATAGTGCACTACTTTTTACCAGTGATGTAAGGGTGCCAATCCTGGACGCATCCACTATTTCATATTGCTAGTGTATCCCAGAGCTGGAACAGCAGGCAAGGCTGTTCCCTGTTCCCACCTCGTTATTAACTAACCCTCTGCTGACAAAGGCCACTGGACGAAAGCCTATTCTTGAAAGGTAATGAATACTTGTCTAGAGTTCATTATTTAGAGCAACACAGCAAAGGAGAGAGGCTGACGCACAGAGAGAGGAAATCACCTGGGGTTAGCTGGTGAAAATATATTTGGCCTCCCCAGGGGTGAAACGGAGAGATGGGGTTTGGGCAAAAATAGTGTGGGGGGAAAGTAACCAATATCCCCTGTTAGGCTTCAATTACTTGCAATTTGCATTCCTTGCAAGGTAGAGAGATGGTTAGGGCCATGGTCAACTAACCACGGAGCCTTGCAGACTTATTGGCTCAGTCGTCTCTGTAGGAACCTGCTGGCATAAACAAACATGAATCGGTGTGTGTGTACGCGTGTATACTTGCATGCAGTGTTTTCCCTAAGCGTCAGCCAAATAGCCAGTTACAGACTCATTTTCTGCACGATTTCTTCCAAATTCATGCTATCTTTAAAAATATTGGTGTGCCTGACTAGCACAGCCTGAGTGCCATAGATAAAAACGGAGCACAAAAATGCTAACCTCTGTTATTGAAATGGTGAGAGGTTAGCATGTTTTGGGGGTATGATATTTGTGCGTGTGTAATTTTCTCACTCATCATTATTCAAGATTCATTCAGGACTCTCCGTAATCATGGTAACATCCACATTAATGTAGAAGTGTATAGAAACATTTTATATTCTTATTTTCAATAAAAGTGACTCCAAAATTACACAATACATTATTTACCATTCATTTCTATTGGGCACAAAATAATCTGAAACACAACCAAAACAAACAGCAAATGCATCCAACAAGTCCAACCTGGAATGCATTTCAATTAACAGGTGTGCCTTCTTAAAAGTTAATTTGTGGAATTTCTTTCCTTCTTAATGCGTTTGAGCCAATCAGTTGTGTTGTGACAAGGTAGGGGGGTATACAGAAGATAGTCCTATTTGGTAAAAGACCAAGTCCATATTATGGCAAGAACAGCTCAAATAAGCAAAGAGAAACGACAGTCCATCATTACTTTAAGACATGAAGGTCAGTCAATTCAGAAAATGACAAGAACTTTGAACGTTTCTTCAAGTGCAGTCGCAAAAACCATCAAGCGCTATGATGAAACTGGCTCTCATGAGGACCACCACAGGAATGGAAGACCCAGAGTTACCTATGCTGCAGAGGATAAGTTCATTAGAGTTACCAGCCTCAGAAATTGCAGCCCAAATAAATGCTTCACAGAGTTCAAGTAACAGACACATCTCAACATCAACTGTTCAGAGGAGACTGTGTGAAACAGGCATTCATGGTGGAATTGCTGCAAAGAAACCACTACTAAAGGACACCAATAATAAGAAGAGACTTGCTTGGGCCAAGAAACACAAGCAATGGACATTAGACCGGTGTAAATCTGTCCTTTGGTCTGGAGTCCAAATTTGAGATTTTTGGTTCCAACCGCCGTGTCTTTGTGAGACGCGGTGTGGGTGAACGGATGATCTCCACATGTGTATTTCCCACCATAAAGCATGGAGGAGGAGGTGTTATGGTGTGGGGGTGATTTGCTGGTGACACTGTCAGTGATTTTATTTAACCAGCATGGCTGCCACAGCATTCCGCAGCGATACGCCATCCCATCTGTTTTTGGCTTAGTGGGACTATCATTTGTTTTTCAACAGGACAATGACCCAACACACCTCCAGGCGGTGTAAGGTCTATTTTACCAAGAAGGAGAGTGATGTATCAGATGACCTGACCTCCACAATCCCCCGACCTCAAGCCAAATTGAGATGGTTTGGGATGAGTCGGACGGCAGAGTGAAGGAAAAGCAGCCAACAAGTGCTCGGCATTAGTGGGAACTCCTTCAAGACTGTTGTTAAAGCTGGTTGAGAGAATGCCAAGAGTGTACAAAGCTGTCATCAAGGCAAAGGGTGGCTATTTGAAGAAACTCAAATATAAAATATATTTTGATTTGTTTAACACTATTTTGGTTACTACATGATTCCATGTGTTATTTCAAAGTTTTGATGTGGTCACTATTATGCTACAATGTAGAAAATAGTAAAAATAAAGAAAAACCCTTGTATGAGTAGGTGTTCTAAAACTTTTGACCAGTAGTGTAAGTGAATTTGTCCCAATGCTTTTGGCCCCCTAAAATGGGAGGACCATGTACAGAAAGTGCTGTAATTTCTAAACGGTTCACCCGATATGGATGAAAATACCCTCAAATTAAAGCTGACAGTCTGCACTTTAACATCATAGTCATTGTATCTAAAGTGCTAGGGTACAGAGCCAAAAAAGGTAATAAATATTGGTCACTGTCCCAATACTTTGGAGCTCATCCTAGAGGAAAACCTGCTTCAGTCTGCTTTACACCAGACACCGGGAGAGGAATTTACCTTTCAGCAGGAAGATCGCCTGCAACACAAGGCCAAATCTACACTAGTTGGTTACCAAGAAGACAGTTAATGTTCCAGAGTGGCCAAGTTAGAGTTTTGACCCACATCAGCTTGAAAATCTATGGCAAGACTTGAAAATTGCTGTCTAGCAATGATCCCTAAGACCTTGACAGAGCTTGAATAATTTTGAAAAGAGTAGACAAATATCACACAATCCAGGTGTGCAAAGCTGTTAGAGACTTACTCACAGCTGTAATCACTGCCAAAGGTGATTGTAACATGTATTGACTCAAGGTTGTGAATACTTATGTAAATTAGATATTCCTGTATTTAATTTTCAATATATGTGCGAACATTTCTAAAATCATGTTTTCACTTTGTCATTATAAAGTATTGTGTGTAGATGGATGTGAAAAAAAATCAATTTAAACAATTTTGAATTCAGGCTGTAACACAACACAAAATGGAATAAATCAAGGGGTATAAGTACTTTCTGAAGGCATTGTTTTTTTCAAAATTGCTCAAGCTCAGTAAATGCCGTTGGGAATCATTGATGGGTAGCAATTTTCAAACCTTTTAAGTCAGGACAGGGACTGGACCACACAGGAACACTCAACACCTTGGTGTGTCTTTGGCATTAACGTTTGTGTAATTGTCCCGCTGAAAAATAAAACTCTACGTATGATATAAATGGCAGTGTGTCACTTTGGTGGTGCTATCTTCCACACCTAACAAAAGAGTCCCAAGTTTAGCTCTGATTGAGATAAAAAAACAGTCAGCTAATAATATATAATAAAATAATAACTTATCAATAGAATTGTTTTCTTGGTGAAGGGAATCTAAGCTAGGGTTGCAAATCCCAGAAGTTCCCAGATTTCCCAGAAAGTGACTTTCCCAGAATTTGGGGAAAGTGGACGAAATGTTGCAACACTAATCTAATCTTATTTATTTTTGTATTATTTGAATTTCAGTTCACTTCCTGTATTGACTGGTCATGAAATGAATTGACATCAAATCAAATTGTATTTATTACATGCGCCCAATACAACAGGTGTAGACCTTACAGTGAAATGCTTACTTACAAGCTCTTTCCCAACGATGCAGTTAGATAAGAAAAAAACACATGAGAAATAAAACCATATACAAGGAGTACCATATCAATGTGCAGGGTTATGTGGTAGATATGCACATGTTTATTTAATCCTTATTTCACCAGGTAAGTTCACTGAAAACATATTCACAGCAACAACCTGGGGAATAGTTACAGGGGAGATGAATGAGCCAATTGGATGCTGGGGATGATTAGGTGGCCAGATCAGGAATTTAGCCAGGACTCCAGGGTTAACACCCCTACTCTTAAGATCCGTGCCATGGGATCTTTAGTGACCACAGAGAGTCAGGACGTCCCATCCGAAAGACGGCATCCTACACAGCGCAATGTCCCAATATTTTTTTTTATTTGACCAGAGGAAAGTGTGCCGTCGTACTGGACTCCAACACCACTTCCAGCAGCATTTGGTCTCCCATTCAGGGACCAACCCTGCTTAGCTTCAGAGCTAAGCCAGCAGTGGGATGCAGGGTGGTATGCTGCTGGCTGCAGGGTCATATGTTGCTGGCATACCTACATGTAGGCAGGGGTAAAGTGTCTAGGCATCAGGATAGGTAATAAGAGTACAAAGTAGCAGCATCGTATATGGTGGGTGTATGTATGTGTCAAATCAAATTGTATTGGTCACATACACGTGTTTAGTAGATGTTATTGCGGGTATAGTGAAATGCTTGTCCTTCTAGCTCCGACAGTGCAGTAATATCTAACAATTTCACTACATATACCCAATACACACAAATCTGAGTAAGGAATGAATTAAGAATATATACATACAGTGGGGAGAACACGTATTTGATACACTGCCGATTTTGCAGGTTTTCCTACTTACAAAGCATGTAGAGGTCTGTAATTTTTTATCATAGGTACACTTCAACTGTGAGAGACGGAACCTAAAACAAAAATCCAGAAAATCACATTGTATGATTTTTAAGTAATTAATTTGGATTTTATTGCATGACATAAGTATTTGATCACCTACCAACCAGTAAGAATTCCGGCTCTCACAGACCTGTTAGTTTTTCTTCAAGAAGCCCTCCTGTTCTCCACTCATTACCTGTATTAACTGCACCTGTTTGAACTCGTTACCTGTATAAAAAACACCTGTCCACACACTCAATCAAACAGACTCCAACCTCTCCACAATGGCCAAGACCAGAGAGCTGTGTAAGGACATCAGGGATAAAATTGTAGACCTGCACAAGGCTGGGATGGGCTACAGGACAATAGGCAAGCAGCTTGGTGAGAAGGCAACAACTGTTGGCACAATTATTAGAAAATTGAAGAAGTTCAAGATGACGGTCAATCACCCTCAGTCTGGGGCTCCATGCAAGATCTCACCTCGTGGGGCATCAATGATCATGAGGAAGGTGAGGGATCAGCCCAGAACTACACGGCAGGACCTGGTCAATGACCTGAAGAGAGCTGGGACCACAGTCTCAAAGAAAACCATTAGTAACACACTACGCCGTCATGGATTAAAATCCTGCAGCGCACGCAAGGTCCAAATGCTCAAGCCAGCGCATGTCCAGGCCCGTCTGAAGTTTGCCAATGACCATCTGGATGATCCAGAAGAGGAATTGGAGAAGGTCATGTGGTCTGATGAGACAAAAATAGAGCTTTTTGGTCTAAACTCCACTCGCCGTGTTTGGAGGAAGAAGAAGGATGAGTACAACCCCAAGAACACCATCCCAACCGTGAAGCATGGAGGTGGAAACATAATTCTTTGGGGTTGCTTTTCTGCAAAGGGGACAGGACGACTGCACCGTATTGAGGGGAGGATGGATGGGGCCATGTATCGCGAGATCTTGGCCAACAACCTCCTTCCCTCAGTAAGAGCATTGAAGATGGGTCGTGGCTGGGTCTTCCAGCATGACAACGACCCGAAACACACAGCCAGGGCAACTAAGGAGTGGCTCCGTAAGAAGCATCTCAAGGTCCTGGAGTGGCCTAGCCAGTCTCCAGACCTGAACCCAATAGAAAATCTTTGGAGGGAGCTGAAAGTCCGTATTGCCCAGCGACAGCCCCGAAACCTGAAGGAGTGGGCCAAAATCCCTGCTGCAGTGTGTGCAAACCTGGTCAAGACCTACAGGAATCTCTGTAATTGCAAACACAGGTTTCTGTACTAAATATTAAGTTCTGCTTTTCTGATGTATCAAATACTTATGTCATGCAATAAAATGCAAATGAATTACTTAAAAATCATACAATGTGATTTTCTGGATTTTTGTTTTAGATTCCGTCTCTCACAGTTGAAGTGTACCTATGATAAAAATTAGAGACCTTTACATGCTTTGTAAGTAGGAAAACCTGCAAAATCGTCAGTGTATCAAATACTTGTTCTCCCCACTGTATATGGATGAGCGATGTCAGAGCGGCATGGACTAAGATATAGTAGACTAGTATAGAATACAGTATATACATATGCAATGAATATTGCAAGATATGTAAATATTATTAAAGTGACTAAGATTCAATTTCTTAAAGTGGCCAGTGATTTCTAGTCAATGTCTATAGACCGCAGCCTCTAATGTGCTAGTGATGGCTGTTTAACAGTCTGAGATAGAAGCTGTTTTTCAGTCTCTCGGTTGCAGCTTTGATGCACCTGTACTGACCTCGCCTTTTGGATGATAGCGGGGTGAACAGGCTTTGGCTCAGGTGGTTGATGTTCTTGATGATCTTTTTGGCCTTCCTGTGACATCGGGGGCTGTAGGTGTCCTGGAGGGCGGGTAGTTTGCCCCCGGTAATGCGTTGGGCAGACCGCACCACCCTCTGGAGAGCCTTGCGGTTACGGGCGGTGCAGTTGCCGTACCAGGCGGTGATACAGCCTGACAGGATGCTCTCAATTGTGCATCTGTAAAAGTTTGTGAGGGTTATAGGTGCCAAGCCAAATTTATTTAGCCTCCTGAGGTTGAAGAGGCTCTGTTGCACCTTCTTCACCACACTGTCTGTGTGGGTGGTCCATTTCAGTTTGTCAGTGATGTGTACGCCAAGGAACTTGAAGCTTTCCACCTTCTCCACTTGCGACTTGTGACGGCCGGCCGCCCAACAAAATGCCCACTTGACCCTATCCCCTCCTCTCTTCTCCAGACCATTTCCGGAGACCTTCTCCCTTACCTCACCTCGCTCATCATCTCATCCCTTCCGTCTTCAAGAGAGCGAGAGTTGCACCCCTTCTCAAAAAACCTACACTCGATCCCTCCGATGTCAACAACTACAGACCAGTATCCCTTGTTTCTTTTCTCACCAAAACTCTTGAGCGTGCCGTCTTTAGCCAACTCTCTTGCTATCTCTCTCAGAATGACCTTCTTGATCCAAACCAGTCAGGTTTCAAGACTGGTCATTCAACTGAGACTGCTCTTGTCTGTGTCACGGAGGCTCTCCGCACTGCTAAAGCTAACTCTCTCTCCTCTGCTCTCGTCCTTCTAGACCTATCTGCTGCCTTTGATACTGTGAACCATCAGATCCTCCTCTCCACCCTCTCCGAGTTGGGCATCTCCGGCGAACTCACTCTTGGATTGCGTCCTACCTGACAGGTCGCTCCTACCAAGTGGCGTGGCGAGAATCTGTCTCCGCACCACGTGCTCTCACCACTGGTGTCCCCCAGGGCTCAGTTCTAGGCCCTCTCCTATTCTCGCTATACACCAAGTCACTTGGCTCTGTCATATCCTCACATGGCCTCTCCTATCATTGCTACGCAGACGACACACAATTAATCTTCTCCTTTCCCCCTTCTGATAACCAGGTGGCAAATCGCATCTCTGCATGTCTGGCAGACATACAGTGGGGAAAAAAAGTTTTTAGTCAGCCACCAATTGTGCAAGTTCTCCCACTTAAAAAGATGAGAGAGGCCTGCAATTTTCATCATAGGTACACGTCAACTATGACAGACAAATTGAGAGAAAAAAATCCAGAAAATCACATTGTAGGATTTTTTATGAATTTATTTGCAAATTATGGTGGAAAATAAGTATTTGGTCACCTACAAACAAGAAAGATTTCTGGCTCTCACATACCTGTAACTTCTTCTTTAAGAGGCTCCTCTGTCCTCCACTCGTTACCTGTATTAATGGCACCTGTTTGAACTTGTTATCAGTATAAAAGACACCTGTCCACAACCTCAAACAGTCACACTCCAAACTCCACTATGGCCAAGACCAAAGAGCTGTCAAAGGACACCAGAAACAAAATTGTAGACCTGCACCAGGCTGGGAAGACTGAATCTGCAATAGGTAAGCAGCTTGTTTGAAGAAATCAACTGTGGGAGCAATTATTAGGAAATGGAAGACATACAAGACCACTGATAATCTCCCTCGATCTGGGGCTCCACGCAAGATCTCACCCCGTGGGGTCAAAATGATCACAAGAACGGTGAGCAAAAATCCCAGAACCACACGGGGGGATCTAGTGAATGACCTGCAGGGAGCTGGGACCAAAGTAACAAAGGCTACCATCAGTAACACACTACGCCACCAGGGACTCAAATCCTGCAGTGCAAGACGTGCCCCCCTGCTTAAGCCAGTAAATGTCCAGGCCCTTCTGAAGTTTGCTAGAGTGCATTTGGATGATCCAGAAGAGGATTGGGAGAATGTCATATGGTCAGATGAAACCAAAATATAACTTTTTGGTAAAAATTCAACTCGTCGTGTTTGGAGGACAAAGAATGCTGAGTTGCATCCAAAGAACACCATACCTACTGTGAAGCATGGGGGTGGAAACATCATGCTTTGGGGCTGTTTTTCTGCAAAGGGACCAGGACGACTGATCGGTGTAAAGGAAAGAATGAATGGGGCCATGTATCGTGAGATTTTGAGTGAAAACCTCCTTCCATCAGCAAGGGCATTGAAGATGAAACGTGGCTGGGTCTTTCAGCATGACAATGGTCCCAAACACACCACCCGGGCAACGAAGGAGTGGCTTCGTAATAAGCATTTCAAGGTCCTGGAGTGGCCTAGCCAGTCTCCAGATCTCAATCCCATAGAAAATCTTTGGAGGGAGTTGAAAGTCCGTGTTGCCCAGCGACAGCCCCAAAACATCACTGCTCTAGAGGAGATCTGCATGGAGGAATGGGCCAAAATACCAGCAACAGTGTGTGAAAACCTTGTGAAGACTTACAGAAAACGTTTGACCTGTGTCATTGCCAACAAAGGGTATATAACAAAGTATTGAGAAACTTTTGTTATTGACCAAATACTTATTTTCCACCATAATTTGCAAATAAATTCATTAAAAATCCTACAATGTGATTTTCTGGATTTTTTTTCCTCATTTTGTCTGTCATAGTTGACGTGTACCTATGATGAAAATTACAGGCCTCTCTCATCTTTTTAAGTGGGAGAACTTGCACAATTGGTGGCTGACTACAAGTATTTGATACACTGCCGATTTTGCAGGTTTTCCTACTTACAAAGCATGTAGAGGTCTGTAATTTTTATCATAGGTACACTTCAACTGTGAGAGACGGAATCTAAAACAAAAATCCAGAAAATCACATTGTATAATTTTTAAGTAATTAATTTGCATTTTATTGCATGACATAAGTATTTGATACATCAGAAAAGCAGAACTTAATATTTGGTACAGAAACCTTTGTTTGCAATTACAGAGATCATACGTTTCCTGTAGGTCTTGACCAGGTTTGCACACACTGCAGCAGGGATTTTGGCCCACTCCTCCATACAGACCTTCTCCAGATCCTTCAGGTTTCGGGGCTGTCGCTGGGCAATACGGACTTTCAGCTCCCTCCAAAGATTTTCTATTGGGTTCAGGTCTGGAGACTGGCTAGGCCACTCCAGGACCTTGAGATGCTTCTTACGGAGCCACTCCTTAGTTGCCCTGGCTGTGTGTTTCGGGTCGTTGTCATGCTGGAAGACCCAGCCACGACCCATCTTCAATGCTCTTACTGAGGGAAGGAGGTTGTTGGCCAAGATCTCGCGATACATGGCCCCATCCATCCTCCCCTCAATACGGTGCAGTCGTCCTGTCCCCTTTGCAGAAAAGCAACCCCAAAGAATTATGTTTCCACCTCCATGCTTCACGGTTGGGATGGTGTTCTTGGGGTTGTACTCATCCTTCTTCTTCCTCCAAACACGGCGAGTGGAGTTTAGACCAAAAAGCTCTATTTTTGTCTCATCAGACCACATGACCTTCTCCCATTCCTCTTCTGGATCATCCAGATGGTCATTGGCAAACTTCAGATGGGCCTGGACATGCGCTGGCTTGAGCATTTGGACCTTGCGTGCGCTGCAGGATTTTAATCCATGACGGCGTAGTGTGTTACTAATGGTTTTCTTTGAGACTGTGGTCCCAGCTCTCTTCAGGTCATTGACCAGGTCCTGCCGTGTAGTTCTGGGCTGATCCCTCACCTTCCTCATGATCATTGATGCCCCACGAGGTGAGATCTTGCATGGAGCCCCAGACCGAGGGTGATTGACCGTCATCTTGAACTTCTTCAATTTTCTAATAATTGTGCCAACAGTTGTTGCCTTCTCACCAAGCTGCTTGCCTATTGTCCTGTAGCCCATCCCAGCCTTGTGCAGGTCTGCAATTTTATCCCTGATGTCCTTACACAGCTCTCTGGTGTTGGCCATTGTGGAGAGGTTGGAGTCTGTTTGATTGAGTGTGTTGACAGGTGTCTTTTATACAGGTAACGAGTTCAAACAGGTGCAGTTAATACAGGTAATAAGTGGAGAACAGGAGGGCTTCTTAAAGAAAAACTAACAGGTCTGTGAGAGCCGGAATTCTTACTGGTTGGTAGGTGATCAAATACTTATGTCATGCAATAAAATGCAAATTAATTACTTAGAAATCATACAATGTGATTTTCTGGATTTTTGTTTTAGATTCCGTCTCTCACAGTTGAAGTGTACCTATGATAAAAATTACAGACCTCTACATGCTTTGTAAGTAGGAAAACCTGCAAAATCGGCAGTGTATCAAATACTTGTTCTCCCCACTGTATCAGTGTGGATGACGGATCACCACCTCAAGCTGAACCTCAGCAAGACGGAGCTGCTCTCCCCCCCGGGGAAGGACTGCCCGTTCCATGATCTCGCCATCACGGTTGACAACTCCGTTGTGTCCTCCTCCCAGAGTGCAAAGAGCCTTGGCGTGACCCTTCACAACACCCTGTCGTTCTCCGCTAACATCAAGGCGGTGACCCGATCCTGAAGGTTCATGTTCTACAACATTCGCAGAGTACGACCCTGCCTTACACAGGAAGCGGCACAGGTCCTAATCCAGGCACTTGTCATCTCCCGTCTGGATTACTGCAACTCGCTGTTGGCTGGGCTCCCTGCCTGTGCCATTAAACCCCTACAACTTATCCAGAACGCCGCAGCCCGTCTGGTGTTCAACCTTCCCAAGTTCTCTCACGTCACCCCGCTCCTCCGCACACTCCACTGGCTTCCAGTTGAAGCTCGCATCTGCTACAAGACCATGGTGCTTGCCTACGGAGCTGTGAGGGGAACGGCACCTCCGTACCTTCAGGCTCTGATCAGTCCCTACACCCAAACGAGGGCACTACGTTCATCCACCTCTGGCCTGCTGGCTCCCCTACCTCTGCGGAAGCACAGTTCCCGCTCAGCCCAGTCAAAACTGTTCGCTGCTCTGGCACGCCAATGGTGGAACAAGCTCCCTCACGACGCCAGGACAGCGGAGTCACTCACCACCTTCCGGAGACACTTGAAATCCCACCTCTTTAAGGAATACCTGGGATAGGATGAAGTAATCCTTTTTTTTTTATAATAAAAAACATAGTAAAGTGGTTGTCCCACTGGCTATCAGAAGGTGAATGCACCAATTTGTAAGTCGCTCTGGATAAGAGCGTCTGCTAAATGACGAAAATGTAAATGTGGATGGGGGGTGCACCCTCTGCTGTTTCCTGAAGTCCACGATCATCTCCTTTGATTTGTTGACGTTGAGTGAGAGGTTATTTTCCTGGCACCACACTCCCAGAGCACTCACCTCCTCCCTGTAGACTGTCTCGTCATTGTTGGTAATCAAGCCTACTACTGTAAGTATCATCTGCAAACTTGATAATTGAGTTGGAGGCGTGCTTGGCCACTCAGTCATGGGGGAACAGGGAGTAGCGAAGTGGAGGTGTTGTTTCTTACCTTCACCACCTGGGGGCAGCCCGTCAGGAAGTCCAGGACCCAGTTGCACAGGGCGGGGTTCAGACCCAGGGCCTCGAGCTTAATGATGAGCTTGGAGGGTACTATGGTGTTGAATGCTGAGCTATAGTCAATGAACAGCATTCTTAAATAGGTATTCCTCTTGTCCAGATGGGATAGGGCAGTGTGCAGAGTGATGGCGATTGCATCATCTGTGGATCTATTGGGGCGGTAAGCAAATTGAAGTGGGTCTAGGGTGGCAGGTAAGGTACAGTGAGGGAAAAAAGTATTTGATCCCCTGCTGATTTTGTACCTTTGCCCACTTACAAAGAAATTATCAGTCTATAATTTTAATGGTAGGTTTTTTTGAACAGTGAGAGACAGAATAACAACAAAAACATCCAGAAAAACGCATGTAAAAAATGTTATAAATTGATTTGCATTTTAATGTGGGAAATAAGTATTTGACCGCCTCTCAATCAAAAAGATTTCTGGCTCCCAGGTGTCTTTTATACAGATAACGAGCTGAGATTAGGAGCACACTCTTAAAGGGAGTGCTCCTAATCTCAGCTTGTTACCTGTATAAAAGACACCTGTCCACAGAAGCTATCAATCAATCAGATTCCAAACTCTCCACCATGGCCAAGACCAAAGAGCTCTCCAAGGATGTCAGGGACAAGATTGTAGACCTACACAAGGCTGGAATGAGCTACAAGACCATCGCCAAGCAGCTTGGTGAGAAGGTGACAACAGTTGGTGCGATTATTCGCAAATGGAAGAAACACAAAATAACTGTCAATCTCCCTCGGCCTGGGGCTCCATGCAAGATCTCACCTCGTGGAGTTGCAATGATCATGAGAACGGTGAGGAATCAGCCCAGAACTACACGGCAGGATCTTGTCAATGATCTCAAGGCAGCTGGCACCATAGTCACCAAGAAAACAATTGGTAACACACTATGCCGTGAAGGACTGAAATCCTGCAGCGCCCGCAATGTCCCCCTGCTCAAGAAAGCACATATACAGGGCCGTCTGAAGTTTGCCAATGAACATCTGAATGATTCAGAGGAGAACTGGGTGAAAGTGTTGTGGTCAGATTAGACCAAAATCGAGCTCTTTGGCATCAAGGAGGAGGAATGCTGCCTATGACCCCAAGAACACCATCCCCACCGTCAAACATGGAGGTGGAAACATTATGCTTTGGGGGTGTTTTTCTGCTAAGGGGACAGGACAACTTCACCGCATCAAAGGGACGATGGACGGGGCCATGTACCGTCAAATCTTGGGTGAGAACCTCCTTTCCTCAGCCAGGGCATTGACAATGGGTTGTGGATGGGTATTCCAGCATGACAATGACCCAAAACACAAGGCCAAGGCAACAAAGGAGTGGCTCAAGAAGAAGCACATTAAGGTCCTGGAGTGGCCTAGCCAGTCTCCAGACCTTAATCCCATAGAAAATCTGTGGAGGGAGCTGAAGGTTCGAGTTGCCAAACGTCAGCCTAAAAACCTTAATGACTTGGAGAAGTACTGCAAAGAGGAGTGGAACAAAATCCCTCCTGAGATGTGTGCAAACCTGGTGGTCAACTACAAGAAATGTCTGACCACTGTGATTGCCAACAAGGGTTTTGCCACCAAGTACTAAGTCATGTTTTGCAGAGGGGTCAAATACTTATTTCCCTCATTAAAATGCAAATCAATTTATAACATTTTTTAAATGCGTTTTTCTGGATTTTTTGTTTTGTTTTTCTGTCTCTCACTGTTCAAATAAACCTACCATTAAAAATTATAGACTGATCATTTCTTTGTCAGTGGGTAAATGTACAAATTCAGCAGGGGATCAAATACTTGTTTCCCTCACTGTAGAGGTGATATGATCCTTGACTCGTCTCTCAAAGCACTTCATGATGACAGAGGTGAGTGCTACGGGGCGATAGTCGTTTAGTTCAGTTACCTTTGCTTTCTTGGGTACAGGAACAATGGTGCCCATCTTGAAGCATGTGGGGACAGCAGACTGGGATAGGGAGAGATTGAATATGCCCGTAAACACACCAGCCAGCTGGTCTGCGCATGCTCTGAGGACGTGGCAAGGGATGCCGTCTGGGCCGGCAGCCTTGCGAGGGTTAACACGTTTAAATGTTTTACACACGTCGGCCACGGAGAAAGAGAGCCCACAGTCCTTGGTAGCGGGTCGCGTCGGTGGCACTGTGTTCTCCTCAAAGCGGGCGAAGGAGGTGTTTAGCTTTTCCGGAAGCAAGACGTTGGTCTCGGCGACGTGGCTGGTTTTCCTTTTGTAGTCCGTGATTGTCTGTAGACCCTGCCACATACGTCTCGTGTCTGAGCCGTTGAATTGCGACTCCACTTTGTCTCTATACCAACGTTTTGCTTGTTTGATTGCCTTGCGGAGTGAATAACTACACTGTTTGTATTCTGCCATATTCCTAGTCAACTTGCCATGGTTAAATGCGGTGGTTCGCGCTTTCAGTTTCGAGCGAACGCTGCCATCTATCCATGGTTTCTTGTTAGGGTAGGTTTTAATAGTCACAGTGGGTACGACATCTCCTATACAGTTACCGTATTAGTCTAAATTGTTTTCGCAAGCTACCCGGAACATATCCCAGTCCGCGTGATCAAAACAATCCTGAAGCGTGGATTCCGATAGGTCCTTGGATAGTTCTTAGCACAGGTACTTCCTGTTTGAGTTTCTGCCTATAGGAAGGAAGAAGCAAAATAGAGTCGTGGTCAGATTTGCCGAAAGGAGGGCGGGGTAGGGCCTTGTAAGCATCCCGGAAGTTCGAATAACAGTGGTCCAGTGTTTTAGCAGCGCGAGTACTACAGTTGATATGTTGATAGAACTTAAGCAGCCTAGTCCTCAAATTTGCTTTGTGAAAATCCCCAGCTACAATAAATGCAGCCTCAGGATATGTGGCTTCCAGTTTGCATAAAGTCCAGTGAAGTTCTTTGAGGGCCGTCGTGGTATCGTCTTTAGGGGGGATATAAATGGCTGTGGCTATAACGGAGGAAAATTATCTTGGGAGATAATACGGTCGGCATTTGATTGTGAGGTATTCTAGGTCAGGTGAACAAAAGGACTTGAGTTCTTGTATGTTACTACAATTACACCATGAGTCGTTAATGATGAAACACACACCTCCGCTCTTCTGCTTCCCGAAGAGATATTTATTCCTGTCTGCGCGATGAACTGAGAACCCCTTTGGCTGGACCGATTTCGACAGAGTATCCCGAGAGAGCCATGTTTCCGTGAAACAAAGTATGTTACAGGCCCTGAAGTCTCTCTGGAAAGAAATCCTTGCCCTGAGCTCGTCAACTTTGTTATCCAAAGACTGAACATTAGCGAGTAATATACTCGGAAGCGGTGGGTGGTGTGCGCGCCTCCCAAGTCGAACCAGCAGGCTGCCTCGAGTGCCTCTGGAATCAGTTAAATTGCTCTGGGGTGAGCGAACAAAGGATTTGCTTCGGGGAAGTCATATTCCTGGTCATAATGCTGGTAGTTCTGGTGAGTTACCGCCGCTCTGATATCTAATAGTTCTTCCTGGCTGTATGTAATGACACAAAACATTTCCTGAGCTAATATTGTAAAAGAAACAAATACATTAAAAAAAAAATACCGCAAAGTTTTGTAAGAGCTAGTCGCGAGGACGCCATCTCCGTCGGCGCCATCTGAGTCATCATGTCAGTATGTGTAGGTGTGTTAGCAAAGTATTAATTGATGAACACTCTGTGTACTGTATGGTTGCATTCACCCCCAATTCTTACAAGAAATGTAACATGCTTGCTATAGCTGTGCTCTGTTCTCTGGTTCTCTTTCCCCAGCTCAGGTCAGGATGTCCAGAGAGCCAGTGTAATCATCAACCTGCCAAACCTGGTGCGTCAGAATCCAGCAGAGACCTTCCGACGGGTAGTGCCAAAAGTTCGGGTGGGCCAATTAATCTGTTCTATTCTAAAGCCTAATATTCATATTAACCACGTTACTGTGGTAAAACCACATTTTATGACTGAATAGAAAAAATAACTAATGACAAATGTCCATTAAATTATAATTATTCCTTTTTGGTGTATGTTGTGACTACATGTCCACAGTAACAAATGGCAAAGGTCAATAAACCTCTTCACCCCTAACCCTTCCCCACTCCTAACCCCTTCTTGCCCTCTGACACAGGAAGTACTACATGTAGCCGGGGCAGACATGCAGCTGGCGGCGGCAGGCTCCTTCCTGACCTTGCTCCAGGATGACATTGTCCTCATCCAGACGCACACCCACTCCATCCTACAGATCGTTCTACTTAACCTGGACCACCGCGATGCAGGTCAGCATGGTTCTTATAAGCTGTATATAACCTGTCATAAGCATGACATAAGCGATGCCATGAGCAATTATGATGATAATAACTTCTGCAAAGTTACTACAACTAGCTTAACCTGGACCAACGAGACACAGGTCAGCATGGTTCGTATAAGCATAACATAAGAGATGTCATAAGCAGTCGTGATGATAATAACTTATGACAGGCTACCCAACTGATTCGACAAGACCATGGCAGGAAGTTAACTACTTAAAGTTGTCTTCAACGTGTCATTAGCATGGCATTAGTAAGGAAATAACTTATGCCAAACCAGACTGATTAGACAAAAACCAAGGAGGTAAGGTTGGGCGATGTCGTGATTATGTACCCATAAAACATTGTGATATACAATGGTATCGCCCCTATTGGCCAACACCCCCCAAAAAAGACAAACGTCAACAACAACAAAAAATCTGCTATAGCGCGAAGTCGAATGCTACAACAACGTGCCCTCTAAGCTGCGCACTGCCACACAGAAGAAATATCAGCCCGTGCAGAGAAGCACGAGATTGAACTTCACTCAACTTTCTAGAGTTTTCCCCTTCAGTTAACACTATTAACGTTTTGCTCTACTGTGGGAATTGTGATAGAATCAATGCAATATTAGCCACTTTTAATGTAACATACTGAAACAAAACGAACTATGCAAGACTTAGTGTGCAAAACTAACTGTGCAAGAGATTTTCTTGTAGGCAGAGCGGATTGGAGTAGGATTCTATTGCATTGACAGGCACACTCAGACCTGACCTGTGCGCCATAACCAATCAGAGCTGCAGTAGGCCTATATGCAAATAGCCATTGCCATATATGGATCTGTGCCATTCACTTTGAACTGGACTGTGTTTAGGTTATTGATATTGTTTGTTCTCTATCATTATTAGTCCCCTGGCTGCCTTACATTTTTAGGCTATTCAAACAACTTTTTGAGATTTAATTCATTGTTTGATCGGGAGAGAAAATCCATGCATAAAATGATGAAAGCATAGCATATAGCCCAAATTCATAACCTATTGAATGGAGAGAATAGGGAATATAGTCTCAGTTTTTTAAAACCGCAAGACACAAGATAGTTAAGGAGTGTCCGTTATTTTAAAAAAGGAATAGGTTTAGGAATTAGCTTAAAGGGACATATCTAACATTTTCAACTTCATTTTCGTCATCTCCAGCACCACCCCAACATCAACATATGTGAAAATGGCGCATTTCAATGTTTTGTAGTAGAGGAAGATAAGTATTTCCAATGACATAATCAACCAATTAGTAGGCAATTAGTAGGCATACCTTTGCATAATTGGTTAAAATCAAACAATGCACACTGATGCACTTCCTCTATCTTTTTTACTACAAAACATAGAAACGAACAATTTCCACATGTTGATGATGTTGGGGTGGTGCTGCAGATGATGAATATGAAGTAGAATTTATGTATTTTATTTCCCTTTAAGGCCCGTGCATCAAACAGAGAAAGAGAGAGAAACAATATTGTCTGACTGGACATTTTGCGCTGCTTTGGTGGAATTCTCCGCTTTGTCTGGCCTACATTTCTGTCTTGCGTTCTGTATATACAATATTTATTGAAATAGGCTATATCAAATAGGAATAGACAAATTACTCAGAATCTCGTGTGCTGCCCTGCTGTGTGCTGCGAAACTCTGTCTGTCACATCATGATGTCGTCACCATCGACGATGGCTGTGAATCATCATCGATAGCATCGTAATATCGGCCCAACCCTACAAGGCAGTAAGTTTAGTTTAAAGCTGTCTTTAACCTGTCATAAGCATGCCTCTTAAGTAAGCAGTTATGATGATAACTTAGTCTACCACAACTGCAAGACCAGGGTAGCAAGCTAAGTTTGCTATTTAAAGTTGTGTTTAACCTGTCAAAAGCATGACATAAGAGATGTCTTAAGCAGTAATTATGATAATAGCTTATGCCAACCTAGCGCAACTGATTAAACTAGACCAAGGCTAGTAACTTTTCAGCACATTTTTGCATTCCAGTTCAACATTTACCTGCTCTGTCGCAGTCTACCATTGAAAACCGTTTGAAGAATGCTAGTGGAAAAGTCAATCTATTTGTATTTGAGCAATATGATTGGCCGTTCATTCAAGCACCACCACCCTACTGCATGTCTCAACTTCTCGAGCAGTACAAGAGTTGCCTTCACACATCACACGCAAGCTGTCCAGAGCAAAAATAATAAGCGCTGAGTGATTTACAAAGATAAACCTTCAATAGTGAACAACATACAGTGCATTCGGAAAGTATTCAGACCCCTTGACTTTTTCCACATTTTGTTACGTTAGAGCCTGTGTGCTAACAGTTTAGTCTGTTAGAAGGTGAACCTTCCCCCCAGTCTGAGGTCCTGAGCACTCTGGAGCAGGTTTTCATCAAGGATCTCTCTGTACTTTGCTCCGTTCATCTTTCCCTCGATCCTGACTAGTCCCAGTCCCTACCCCTGAAAAACATCCCCACAGTATGATACTGCCACCACCATGCTTCACCGTAGGGATGGTTGCAGGTTTCCTCCAGACGTGACGCTTGGCATCCAGGCCACAGAGTTCAATCTTAATTTAATCAGACCAGAGAATCTTGTTTCTTATGGTCTGAGAGTCCTTTAGGTGCCTTTTGGCAAACTCCAAGCGGGCTGTCATGTGCCTTTTACTGGGGAGTGGCTTCCGTCTGGCCACTCTACTGTAAAGGCCTGATTGGTGGAGTGCTGCAGAGATGGTTGTCCTTCTAGAAGGTTCTCCCATCTCCACAGAGGAAATATGGAGCTCTGTCACCATCGGGTTCTTGGTCACCTCCCTGACCAAAGCCGTTCTCCCCTGATTGCTCGGTTTGGTCGGGCGGCCAGCTCTAGGAGGAAGAGTCTTGGTGGTTCCAAACTTCTTCCATTTCAAAATTATGGAGGCCACTGTGTTATTGGGGATCTTCAATGCTGCAGAGAATTTTGGTACCCTTCCCCAGATCTGTGCCTCGACATAATCCTGTCTCTGAGCTCTATGGACAATGCCTTCGACCTCATGGCTTGGTTTTTGCTCTGACATGCACTGTCAACTGTGGGACCTTATCTAGACAGGTGTGTGCCTTTCCAAATCATGTCCAATCAATTGGATTTACCACAGGTGAACTCCAATCAAGTTGTAGAAACTTCTCAAAGATGATCAATTTATTTATTTATTTATTTATTTATTTCACCATTATTTAACCAGGTAAGCCAGTTGAGAACAAGTTCTCATTTACAACTGCGACCTGGCCAAGATAAAGCAAAGCAGTGCGATAAAAACAACAACACAGAGTTACATATGGGGTAAAACAAAACATAAAGTCAAAAATACAACAGAAAATATATATACAGTGTGTGCAAATGTAGCAAGTTATGGAGGTAAGGCAATAAATAGGCTATAGTGCAAAATAATTACAATTAGTATTAACACTGGAATGATAGATGTGCAAGAGATGATGTGCAAATAGAGATACTGGGGTGCAAATGAGCAAAATAAATAACAATATGGGGATGAGGTAGTTGGGTGGGCTAATTTCAAATGGGCTGTGTACAGGTGCAGTGATCGGTAAGGTGCTCTGACAACTGATGCTTGAAGTTAGTGAGGGAGATAAGTCTCCAGCTTCAGAGATTTTTGCAATTCGTTCCAGTCATTGGCAGCAGAGAACTGGAAGGAATGGCGGCCAAAGGAGGTGTTGGCTTTGGGGATCACCAGTGAGATATACCTGCGCATACTACGGTTGGGTGTTGCTATGGTGACCAATGAGCTAAAATAAGGCGGGGATTTGCCTAGCAGTGATTTATAGATGGCCGGGAGCCAGTGGGTTTGGCGACGAATATGTAGTGAGGACCAGCCAACAAGAGCGTACAGGTCACAGTGGTGGGTAGTATATGGGGCTTTGGTGACAAAACGGATGGCACTGTGATAGACTACATCCAATTTGCTGAGTAGAGTGTTGGAGGCTATTTTGTAAATGACATCGCCGAAGTCAAGGATCGGGAGGATAGTCAGTTTTACGAGGGCATGTTTGGCAGCATGAGTGAATGAGGCTTTGTTGCGAAATAGGAAGCCGATTCTAGATTTAACTTTGGATTGGAGATTCTTAATGTGAGTCTGGAAGGAGAGATTACAGTCTAACCAGACACCTAGGTATTTGTAGTTGTCCACATACTCTAGGTCAGACCCGTCGAGAGTAGTGATTCTAGTCGGGTGGGTGGGTGCCAGCAGCGTTCGATTGAAAAGCATGCATTTAGTTTTACTAGTGTTTAAGAGCAGTTGGAGGCTACTGATTGAGTGTTGTATGGCATTGAAGCTCGTTTGGAGGTTTGTTAACACAGTGTCCAATGAAGGGCCAGATGTATACATCTGTATACTGTATCAATGTACAGTTGAAGTCGGAAGTTTACATACACCTTAGCCAAATACATTTAAACTCAGTTTTTCACAATTCCTGACATTTAATCCTAGTAAGAATTCTCTGTCTTAGGTCAGTTAGGATCACCACTTTATTTTAAGAATGTGAAATGTCAGAATAATAGTAGAGAGAATGATTTATTTCAGCTTTTATTTCTTTCATCACATTCCCAGTGGGTCAGAAGTTTACATACACTCAATTAGTATTTGGTAGCATTGCCTTTAAATTGTTTAACTTGGGTCAAACGTTTCGGGTAGCCTTCCACAACCTTTCCACAATAAGTTGGGTGAATTTTGGCCCATTCCTCCTGACAGAGCTGGTGTAACTGAGTCAGGTTTGTAGGCCTCCTTACTCGCACATGCTTTTTCAGTTCTGCCCACACATTTTCTATAGGATTGAGGTCAGGGCTTTGTGATGGCCACTCCAATACCTTGACTTTGTTGTCCTTATGCCATTTTGCCACAACTTTGGAAGTATGCTTGGGGTCATTGTCCATTTGGAAGACCCATTTCCGACCAAGCTTTAACTTCCTGACTGATGTCTTGAGATGTTGCTTCAATATATCCACATCAATTTCCTTCCTCATGATACCATCTATTTTGTGAAGTGCACCAGTCCCTCCTTTAGCAAAACACCCCCACAGCATGATGCTGCCACCCCTGTGCTTCACGGTTGGGATGGTGTTCTTTTGCTTGCAAGCATCCCCCTTTTTCCTCCAAACATAACGATGGTCATTATGGCCAAACAGTTCTATTTTTGTTTCATCAGACCAGAGGAGATTTCTCCAAAAAGTATGATCTTTGTCCCCATGTGCAGTTGCAAACCGTAATCTGGCTTTTTTATGGCGGTTTTGGAGCAGTGGCTTCTTCCTTGCTGAGCGGCCTTTCAGGTTATGTCGATATAGTAATTGTTTTACTGTGGATATAGATACTTTTGTACCTGTTTCCTCCAGCATCTTCACAAGGTCCTTTGCTGTTGTTCTGGGATTGATTTGCACTTTTTGCACCAAAGTACGTTCATCTCTAGGAGACATAACGCGTCTCCTTCCTGAGCAGTATGATGGCTGCGTGGTCCCATGGTGTTTATACTATTGTTTGTACAGATGAACGTGGTACCTTCAGGTGTTTGGAAATTGCTCCCAAGGATGAACCAGACTTGTGGAGGTCTACAATTTTATTTCTGAGGTCTTGGCTGATTTCTTTTGATTTTCCCATGATGTCAAGCAAAGAGGCACTGAGTTTGAAGGTAGGCCTTGAAATACATCCACAGGTACACCTCCAATTGACTCAAATTATGTCAATTAGCCTATCAGATGCTTCTAATGCCATGACATCATTTTCTGGAATTTTCCAAGCTCTTTAAAGGCACAGTCAACTTAGGGTATGTAAACTTCTGACCCACTGGAATTGTGATACAGTGAATTATAAGTGAAATAATCTGTCTGTAAACAGTTATTGGAAAAATTACTTGTCATGCACAAAGTAGATGTCCTAACTGACTTGCCAAAACTATAGTTTGTTAACAAGAAATGTGTGGAGTGGTTGAAAAACTAGTTTGAATGACTCCAACCTAAGTGTTTGTAAACTTCCGACTTCAACTGTAAACAGGATGCACCTGAGCTCAATTTCGAGTCTCATAGCAAAGGGTCTGAATTCTTAAATAAATAAGGTATTTCTGTTTTTTATTTTTAATACATTTGCAAACATTTCTAAAAACCTGTTTTCGCTTTATCATTATAGAGTATCGTGTGTAGATTGATGAGGATTTTTTTTTTTTTTTTTTTTTTTTTTTTTTTTTTGTCATTTAGCAGACGCTCTTATCCAGAGCGACTTACAGGAGCAATTAGGGTTAAGTGCCTTGCTCAAGGGCACATCGACAGATTTTTCACCTAGTCGGCTCGGGGATTAGAACCAGCGACCTTTCGGTTACTGGCACAACGCTCTTACCCACTAAGCTACTACAATCCATTGTAGAATAAGGCTGTAACGTAAGAAAATGTGGAAAAAGGGAAGGGGTCTGAATACTTTCCAAATGCACTGTAGTAGCAATATGGTGGCTACTGTTGATAGTCTGCAAAAAAAAGCTACAAAAAGACACCTAGCATTCGTCTTGGTTAGCCTACTGTAGCCAGTCAATATCTCGTTTGAAACGTTTGTCTTAGAGGGGCAGCTTCCTATTTTGAGATGTAAAAATATTCTCAAAATGACACTTCAACAAAAGAGGGCAGTAGGACTTGAAATTACTGAATTACTTTCTAAATATAGTAACAATGAAATTATAAATGACTTACTATGAGATTTCACATTTCTTATAAGTATAAAATAAATATGGTCTTACTTAGTGACAGTACAATATTTGGCACTATTTCATATAACTGCAGACAGAGAATTTTCTCCTAAACGTCCACTGAGCAGCACAGAGACACCATTTAAATGTGTGCAGACTCGTTACAACTTCAGCTTCACCAAGAGAAAGTGGTCTTAGTTCAATTCTATGACATTATTTAGTTGTGTTGGGAGCTCTATATCCGGCTGAGAATATCACAGCAAGATTAAACTAGTATTGTTGCATCCGCTAGATTCTTCCATTTAATATGCGCTATTGCAAGCGCAGCTGTAAGTTTCACAGACACACGAAATCGTTCCTTTGTCTGGATAGGCCCGAAAATGTGACACGTCACTCCCTATGCAAATGTGGGGTCTGATACCTGACACTTCAAGTCAGCCACGCTGGGAGAGTGGGAGCACAGAGACGGTGCTTTCTTGCACTATAAGACACAGGACCCTACGATGTTCACAGAGAGCTTTGTACACAAAAATGTCAGTCGGAACTGGTCCAGAACCGCTCAAAGTCCCCCAAATAGGGGACTTAACATCTAAGAGGTATCATAATAACCAAATGTAGCCTATTCATTGCTGAAAATAGAAAGATGCATGCCAAGCTATAGGCCCTGCATGACACCAATGCATTTAAAAACTACACCATGTCCAGGCCAGTAAAAATTATGTTCGGGCCAGTAGCTTTTTGGCCAACCGGGCCAGTAAGAAAAAAAGTTAATGTTGGACCCTGAAGGTAAACAATGTCATGTTTTGGCAGGACATAAAGCTGGTTATTTTTTCTTTGTGTAATGTCTTCCAGTGGCAAATTAAGCTTGTCCAAAACTTGTCCAGAGAGACTTGTGGGTTGTTCAGTAACAACCGGGTGAGTTGGATGCAGCCAGACCTACACAGCCCCGCTTTCAGCTTTGCAGTATTCCTCTCTTAGCTCAAGATTTAACTTTAGGTTGAACATTAAGTAACATCCCTTCAAAAGTCTTTGCTTTGACAGCAAGTCTCGAATAGCATGCTTTAAGCTTGGGTACGATTCCTGTGGCACCTTACTCGGCAGCAGTCAATCTTTAGCCATTGCTGGCACGAGAGGAACAAGCCTGTTGCTCACTCCGGTTTTCAATTCAGCATCCTACTGTTCCAGGATTACAGTCGATGAAAGCTTCTTCTCCCAGATCTGTTGAATGTAGCTAGTGTCTGCCTGGCATTTCGCCCACAGTGTGTGAGCGAGGGAGTGAATGCAGCAGTTTGAATTCGTGACAGAGCTTAACCGTTGTGACTTACCGTCACTGGTGGGCTGTAGGTTGGCAGGGCATCATACTCTCTGGTACAGGGATGTTCCATTTCAAAACTTCAAAGGCCATGGCATCATTATTAAGCATTGGTAGCAGTTTTCAGTGTTTTTAAAATGTCCGTTTTTCTCTGTTTCTCTTCAACAGTGGTGAGCAACGCATGGCTGGAAACGTTGCTGTCTGCAATCGATGCTTTACCAAAGGAAACCATCAGACAGGAGGTAACAGCAACCTGAAATGTATACTAGCTAACACATTAACGTAACACATACTAGCTAATACAGGTTATTATAAAATGAACCAAAGCATATAACAAGCCTTGGCAACCACCTAGGGATGTTAACGGTTAACCATTAATCGGTTCGCATCAAAAATACATTTCACTAGTCATGCTTACCGGTCTATAGGTTAATTTGCATAATTTTATGGATTTCAATTGGCACGTGTGTATTTTCGTTAGTTCGTCATGTATCTATTTATCAGACGTGCACAGAGCCTAATTTGAGCGGAATATCACCTGTCGGACAGCGAGAGCTGCATCTCCTCAAACAGCTGGTTGCTACTGGTGTGAAACGTGTTCTTAAAAGCCCAGTCATTGCGCAACAATTCTAAATGCAATTGCGTGTTAAAAACAGAGTTTTGATGGCCACGATTAAAAAGAGATACAGTTTTTATTTCTCAACTCCTAATTTCTCAACTCCTGAACCGTGTCCTCCATTCACCATTTGAGTGCATAGGCAATAGTTTAGGCAGGCTATCAGCACGTCACCTACCACCTTGCAATCTGAGCTGGAGGCAGTATGCATTTTGATAACATATACTTAATTGTGTGAAACCTGGATGTTTTACTTCATATTATGAGGTATGTCTTACCTTGCTTCAAAGTAGCGTAGACAAAATCTGACTATGCGCATTTGTGTAGGATAGATTATTGCGCAACCCCAAACGCTATATTCAGATTAGACTCACATTTGTTACAATAAACCCCTTACCTAAAATTCAATGGTATTTTATATGGTATTTAGGCACATTCACATATTGATATAACATTTCACTTCTTTACATCAAGTTTGCCAGTACCTTAGAAAAATGAAAAAAATGAAAAAAGTCAAATGCTAAAAGTATCTTATATAAAATATATTAATACCTCCAAGCACACATCAAAATCCACAAAGAAATGGTTAATTGACCACAAAATCACAATTTTGCAATGGCCATCTCAGTCTCTGGATTTGAACCCCATTGAAAACCTGCGCAGACGAAGGATATCAAGGATCTGGAAAGATTCTGTACGTTGGAATGGTGTAATAACACTCCCAATGTGTTCTCCAGTCTCATAAAACATTTTAGAAAAAGTGCCATTATCCTCCCAAATTGAGGTATTGAAAGTTATTGAAAACAGGGATGTTTTTGAGAATAATTTTTGTTAACTTTTTAAACAGTCTCTTTTGCTCATCTTTATCAAGGGTACCAATAATTTTAGACCTGACTGTATAGTCCTAGGCATATGTTGTTGTTAGGAGGTCACATATATTTTGCTTTTATTACTGCGCATTTTAATTGTAATTTTACTTTCAAACTATTTTGCCATTTTGATCCCAATTGGACCCTTTATTTATAGAAATACCCATATATGGCACATATGTGCCTCAACTCCCTGACATTTAGATTTTTTTGTATTTTGTTGCATCTCATTCATCTTGCTTTTTAGTCCAAGACTAGGCTTAATCTGTGTCCGGGAAACCGTCCCATAGTATTTTACCTGAGAATTATGCCAGGCTTCTAAGGCATTTCTGGGCATATTTCTGGGCTTTAAAACTGTACTTTTTCAAAATGCCTTGCTGCGCCAAGGTCCATTTGTAAATGTGACAAACGCTCTCACAGGGAGATGCCAAGTTCATTAGCAATCATCTAACAATAACCCATGTTATGAAATACATTTCTGAAATAAGCCCCTGATGATGCATATACATCCAGTTTGAGGCAATTGTTTTATACTACCCTGCAGTACAGGTTAACTTTTTAATGCCCATAACTGTATAACCGTTAGTATATCTAATATGGGGAATTAAAATGGTTTCTAATGGAACAGTGCCATTGGAAGAAACTAAGTTGGCTATCATTTCTCAGTATGACAGTACTGTGCCCGACAACCCAAGTCGGCCACAATTACTTGTAAGAAACTGTTGTTAGTTAGGAAACTAAACTTGGCAACATAATTTAGCATGGTTCCGATGGAGCACTATAAATGGAATAGGATGTCATTTGGGATGCAACCCATGGCTTCCTTAAACAGGCTGTTCCTTCCCTAACACCCTAATAGCCTGTATCCATTTGTTAATCATGCAGATCCTCAGCCCGCTTGTGTCCAAAGCTCAGCTGTCGCAGTCCCTGCAGGCCCGGTTAGCCAGCTGTCGTATCCTGGGGAAGGTGGCCTGCAAGTTTGAGTCTCCCATGTGAGTTTGTACCCTGGAGTTTGTATCTTCCTCAATCACCAAACAGAAGGTCTGATGCTTGTTTTTCTACAAGGGAATGTCTTGGTTAAATGCTTATTTTTCTGTAAGGAAATGTCTTGGTTAAATTAGTTATATAGATGTAGGGGCCATAGATGCTACAGTAGGATAAATTAGTTAATGATAGATAGCCTAGACCAGGGGTGGGCAAACTTTTTGTCTCTAGGGCCACATCGGGATTAAAGAATTCAACGAAGGGCCACACATTTTTGTTCGTCAAAATCGATACTTTCTGTCTAGTGTGGCCTGGAGTGTTTTTTCAACCAAAAATAATCATTTCTCCTAACAACAACAAATATATACCCCACAGGCCGCATTTAATTGGCTGGCGAGCCCAGCCTTGGCCTAGACGATAGATGTAGGACCCATAGATTCTAGGCTAAATTAGTTACAATCATTTCACAGCTTATCTGAATTAGTATCTCGTAGAAAAATCTCTATTGTGCCCTTTGGGACACCTTTCCAATAATCAATCATAATTTGTCTTGATTTCTCTTGATATGCCCCCAAATTATGTGAAACCCTCTTGGCAGAGTGAAGAAGGACCTCCTGCCCCTGGTGAGGTCCCTGTGCCAGGACGTGGAGTACGAGGTGCGCTCCTGCATGTGTCGCCAGCTGGAGAACATCGCCAGAGGAATCGGGTAAAAGAAAAGAACAGAGAAAAAAAGAAAGGAGAAAACCTTTCAGATAATCTAGAAAACAGCTGTGTCTGGTGTCGCGTTAAAATCGGAGGAGAGCTCATTGTAATGGCTGGAATGGAATAAATGGAATGGTTTCCATGTGTTTTATGTGTTTGATATATTTTCCATTTATTTATTTCCAGCCAGTACATTGAGCCCCTCTGATTTCTCCGCCCACAAGACTCCACTGGTAGAAACAGTCGCATTGTTCAAACCGAAAGGCATAATGGTTCAATTGAACGGTGTCTTTGAAAAGGCTAAACACACCCTGTTGACCTGAGGAAATAGACCAGTATGCGAGACTAAATACTCCTGAACTTTTGTTTGAATACCCAAAAAATTCTTAGAAGCTTTGCTTTCAGTTGAAGCTTGTGTGTTGGGTGGGGGGGAGTCTTTTTTCCTATCATGAACCTACAACAGATGACTATAAACGCAGGCTTATCGCAGCAGAAACTCTGTGTCCCAAATGGCACCCTATTCCCTATATAGTTCACTACTTTTGAGCAGAGCACTATGGGCCCCTGGTCAATAGTAGTGCACTTTATAGGGAATAGGGTGTCATTTGACAAGCACACACTATCAACCCTGATAGACTGCAGCAGCCCCTTGGGAACAGCCGGTCCAGTCAAGAAGAATGATTTCTAAAATTCTGCCTGGTTACCTGTGTAGCAAATGCTTTATTTTGCAATCAGCAAAGTGGCAGGGGGAAGGTAGTGCTTACTTTGGTATTAATGCTTAGTGACACTACAACTAATGGATACATATTGACCAAATAGAGAAACTCACAGGACGGCACACTACTGGGTATCCTAAGCGTGCAGTATACTCTTTGGGCTGGTTTCTCGGACACAGATTAAGCCTAGTCCTGGACAAAAATCACTTTCAATGGAGAATCCTCATTGAGCATACTTTTAAATCCATGACTATGCTTAATCTGTGTCCGGGAAACCGGCCCCTAGAGTGCATCTCAGTATCATTTGTCTCATCGTCTCCACTTTCCTGTTATTTTATTATCCCCATCCATATAGAGATGTTCCCCTCAATAACATATAGATATTGATCCATTAGTTGAATAGAACATCTTTGAGTTACTGACAGGTGCAATGAATGAAAACACCAACACTAACTGGTGCACAGAAACAAATTACCTGACGCTTTGAATGGATCTTTTAGTGTTTTGTTCATTAGTCCATCAAACTTTAATGTTCACCTGCAAAAATGAACAAAATACTAAAAGTTCGTTTGAGTGAACTATCCCTTTAACAGTGCTACATTAATACAGTATGTGCTAGTGTTAGTTACTGCAGGTAGCTTAGTGGTTAAGAGCATAGTGCCAGTAACCGAAAGGTCGCTGGTTCTAATCCCTGAGCCGACTAGGTGAAAAATCTGTCGATGTGCCCTTGAGCAAGGCACTTAACCCTAATTGCTCCTGTAAGTCGCTCTGGATAAGAGCGTCTGCTAAATGACAAAAATAAAAATAAATAAAATAAACCCACTGTTAAATATTGGTATTGGGAGTTTTGCAGGCAACCAATTGTGCAACAGTGAGTTATCAGAATACGTATTTTGTCAGAGGGTGAGTGACTTATTAAGGGGGAGGTGTATTATGTGTCAGTCACAAACACAACCCTGTAACCTTAACATGATACGTTCTCTAACTTCACTCTCTGTCATCCTTCATTGATCTTTTGGATGCAGTTTATGAAATGTGCTGTTTTACATTGCCAATATTGGGGGAGGGAGGTTATATTCTTCTTAGCTCGTACACTTAGGGATAGCCTAGTTCACAATAAAATATTCTCATGTTTCCAAACCTCAGCAGTGGTCTTAAACTAAAGTCAAGTCCATTTTCCTTTTTTTGTGATACGTTTTTTATTGTTGACACTTGTTGGATAACAGGCATATATATACACAGCAAATAGGCTGTGACTCATGTTCGTAGCATTCATAATGATAGTATTGTTTTTACAAAAGAGATGCAGCGAAAAATGACATCAGCTTTGCACGCTTAAATCAATGAAATTGGCATACAGAGGCAGATCTGACTCTGTATCTCAATGTGAATGGCATCAGCATGCTTGTATTTGTAGTAGTGTCAACCTTATTTGTTATATACATTTCTTATCCATTGACAATTAAGTATATGAATATGAACAAAAGGGGAGAAAACTAAAGAAATATAAATAATAATTAAAGAATGGGGTTGCGTTAAATTGAGAGCACAGGGAAGATAATCTTCCATAATGATTTTATCCCCAGGCATTCCCACATCATATGGATTAAGGTACCTTGAGTGTCATTAGAGCATAGAGTACAATTGGGTGATGGTTTGGCTTTAATGTGATACAATTTCCGGGGAGTAAAGTACGTTCTGTGAACAAAATTTAAGTGAATCATATATTGTGCCATATTGTTTGCCAATTAAGAACATTGTTGGATATTTGTAGATCTTTTTTACACAATTTGTCAATTGAAAGTGGCTTGGATGAGGACTTTACTAGACGGGAATTCATTTCAGAGACGAGACCTCTTTTTCCAAGCAGTACCTTATGAAGGTGAAGCTTTGTTTCCCAAGATACCCCATGAGAGTGCATAGCAAAACGTAATTGTAAGTAGAAAAATAATGAGTTGCCAGGCAGGTAGTACTATTGTTGAATATCTTGGAATGCGCGGAGACCCTCATCCCCAAAAATGGCTGAAAGTGTGTGCAATCCATTGCCATGCCACAGGGGAAATGAGATGGGGCGCCCTCCCAATTGGAGACCAAAATTATGGAAAATTCATGATTGGAGATACCAGTTGAGTGTGATTCCACATATTTTTTCAGCCAGATGCCAAACAGAAATGGCGTGAGAAATAATAGAGCCGAATCTTAATTTAGATTGTTTCAGAGCTACATTGGAATAGATTAGGTTTTGTAATCTGTGTTGGTGAACACATTTTTATTCTATTGGACGCCATGCCACGCCCTGTATCTCAGTTGGTAGAGCATGGCGCTTGCAACACCAGGGTTGTGGGTTCGTTTCCCACGGGGGGCCAGTATGAAAATGTACTAACTGTAAGTCGCTCTGGATAAGAGCGTCTGCTAAATGACTAAAATGTGAAATGTAAAAGCAAGTTTCTGGATTTAGCCTACATTTGACATTTTAATCATTTAGCAGACGCTCTTATCCAGAGCGACTCCTAGTAGCGAGAGAATACAGAGAAAATGACCATGGGAACCATTGGAATTTTGGGAGGCTTATTCCACCTGAGGTATTTTGTCTCTGTAATATGGAGAGTTTAATTCTTGTTTTTTTTCCCTCCAGATACATTTTGAGATTAGGTTGTGCATTTTCTTCCAGTGGCCATCAAGTGGTGCTACAAGGAGCATTTTACTTTTTTATGACAAACTGGTGGAATCTGCCCCAGGCATGTTGGATTGCTCGGAGGGGTATACTACAAAGCAGGTGTGAGGAGTTGGCGAGGTAACTTTGGTCAACTCTTGAGTTCAACTCGGGATAACCGGTCATACGAAAGTGGCTCACCTTTTAGCCAGGTAATTTCTATGGCAATGAATTCTTATGAACTAACCTGCTCCGGGGCAGGCTAACTCACTGGTAACTCCACTGAAATGACTGAGCCACGAGTTGAGGACCAATCAAATAAGTTTCCCTGTAACAGTAACACTTTTGTATGACTTAATACAATTATTGTATCGATAGGAGTGGGGGAAAAAGGTGCTTGTGGTTGTGCATTGATTAGCACACCAACGACGGCATTAATGATAAGTAATAAAATAAAGTTGCCACTTATAAAAGCCTGTTTCACACCATAGCCCATGGATTGATGTTTCACCATTGTCTCAATGAAGAGTTTGGCGTTCGACTAGCCATTACAAGCGGCAGGCGGTCGAGCGATATCCACCGTCGTAGTATGATTAAGCCTGAGCTGGAATGTGAAGCTGAAGCTGGTTAGCTTTAGAAAACTCTGAGTAGATATAGCTTGCTTCGTAGGATACCCTTCTGTTGGTTGAGAGATCTCATGTGGATCAGCCACGACAGACTCTTCATTGGTGTTGGCTGTGACTTTCTGGTGGTTTCTAAGCAGTCGATTCTCTACTTTTGATAGTGTTATTTTAGAAGCCATGTTCAAGTTTGTAGCTTGTAGAAGCGGAAGTTTGCCTAAAATTTGGTCAAACAAAGGGAGGTTGGAGAACAGAACTCTATGCTGCCATCTTACTCATGCCACAAATGTTGTCTTGCCACACAGGTCCATTTTCCATTAATTTTGAGGCATGAAATTATCTGACAAACTTTGATTTGGGGGAAACTCAAACGATCCCTTTAATGGGAATGTGTGTTTGTTATATAATTGTGTCTCGTCTCTTTCTCCTCTGGTGTCTCAGACTGGACCACACCAAGGCGGCAGTGCTGCCTGAGCTCGTAGAGTTGGCTCGGGACGAGGGGAGCACGGTGCGCCTGGCCGCCTTCGACACCATCATTAACCTGCTGGAGATGTTCGACAGTGGTGAGAAACCTCATTCAATGACACCACCTCACCTATGTCATGCACCCTCAACACCTCATATAAACCTCATATAACCTTATCACCTCAAACAGTCTCACCTCTCACACAAAAAAACTTCTACAATCTCACCACCTCATACAAACATCATACGAACTCTATGTGATTACCCTGCACCCTCACACAGCCGGCCCACATGGCTTTTCCACTGCTGGCACTATAACGTCATTCAGCCCACATACTTCTGTCTGCGTGGCAGGCCGTGCTACACCCTCGTACAGCCTACATAGCCGTCTCTGTGGCCATGTTGCTCTCACATTCAACTTACACTTCTTCTTACTACAGCGTGCCTCGCAAGCAGCCCACACTACTCCCGATCTGGCGGCTCTTGTTCGCTGGCAATTTTCTACTCATTGATGTTCCAAGAGAGGACAGACGCCCACACGTTCACATTGTTCCCGGAAAAGTCTTTAAACCAAAGCAGTATTTTGACAGGAATAGCTTTATAAAGGCACTTACAGAAAATACGGTTATAATGTTCCTATTCAATGGTTGTGATGTTCCTATTGATCTGTTTTTTTACCTAGCATCTATCTTAGGTTTGCATATTTTTTGTTCTAGCTCTGCACAAGCAAAACTGATTTCACTACTCAACTAATACTCACACCCTTGATTACCTGTATAAGGTGTGCTTGTGCTCTGCAAAAAAAATATGCAACCCCTGGGGTTGCCAAGAACCAGAGTCTACTACAGACATAAACCTGGCTCATTAAAACCAATGCACTTCACAACCTTGTCTCTACATTGTCTGTGGGAAACACTTACTTGTCTGGCTTAGCGACACTCTTCCAAGACACCCCTGCACCCGCAAAGTTCCTTTGATATGCAAATACTATACTCGTTACAGTAGTTGGCACACTGGCTCCAACTAAGCTGTCAGCGGTAATGGCCACAGTCTGATATTTCTTCACGAGGCCTTTGCACGTTGCTACGTGGAGTCCCGGCCCTATTGCTTTCATCTTTCAGATGTCCTTTCAGATCTGCCCAGGTAAGTCGTCAGGGCAGAGAAAAGGTAGCAAGTTAGCTCTTATACACTCCATGGCCGCATGATGAGTAACATCATATTGAGTTGATACTGTGTTTTGGAATGGAATGCAGCCACTGTGTGTATGAGGGATGACAATTCCGATTGTCCGCTCTCTGCCAGATGCCCATTTCATTGGGAGGCAGCACCGTCATGTCAAACTGTCTTTCTCTCTTCTCTCCCCCTCACTTTTTAGACGACAGGACGCGTGTTATCTTTCCGCTGGTGAAGACGTTCTGTGAAAAGTGCTTTAAAGCTGACGAGGCGGTGCTGGCTTCGCTGTCGTTTCAGTACGGCAAGCTCTGTCACGGACTCTCAGGTGGGTTTAATACCTCTTACATTGGCTGCTCTGTCACAGACTCTCAGGTGGGTTTAATACCTCTTACATTGGCTGCTCTGTCACAGACTCTCAGGTGGGTTTAATACCTCTTAAATGGGCTGCTCTGTCACGGACTCTCAGGTGGGTTTAATACCTCTTAAATGGGCTGCTCTGTCACAGACTCTCAGGTGGGTTTAATACCTCTTACATTGGCTGCTCTGTCACAGACTCTCAGGTGGGTTTAATACCTCTTAAATGGGCTGCTCTGTCACGGACTCTCAGGTGGGTTTAATACCTCTTAAATGGGCTGCTCTGTCACAGACTCTCAGGTGGGTTTCAGACCTCTTAAGGCCAGACACTACACCCTAATAGGGTCTTTTTTTTCCCCTTATTCATATCACAATTAACTTTTACCACTTGAATGTAGACAGAAATACAATATTTTTTTTTATTAAATACAGTACTTTTTGTATTAAAATAGGCAAATGAGGTAATACACTAAAGTATATGGACACCTGTTCAAATTAGTGTATTCGGCTATTTCAGCCACACCCGTTGCTGACAGGTGTATAAAATCGAGCACACAGCCATGCAATCTCCATAGACAAACATTGGCAATAGAATGGCCTTACTTAAGACCTCAGTGACTTTCAACCTGGCACCGTCATAGGATGCCACCTTTCCAACAACTCAGTTCGTCAAAATTCTGCCCTGCTAGAGCTGCCCTGGTCAACTGTAAGTGCTGTTATTGTGAAGTGGAAACGTCTAGGAGCAACAACGGCTCAGCCGCGAAGTTGTAGGCCACACAAGCTCACAGAACGGGACCGTTGAGTGCTGAAGCGCGTAGTGTGCAGTGGGGGAAAAAGTATCCAATTGTCATACTTGAGTAAAAGTAAAGATACCTTAATAGAAAATGACTCCAGTAAAAGTGAAAGTCACCCAGTAAAATACTACTTGAGTAAAAGTATTTGGTTTTAAACATACTTAAGTATCAAAGTAAATGTAATTGCTAAAATGTACTTAAGTATCAAAAGTAAAAGTATAAATTATTTTAAATTCCTTATATTAAGCAAACCAGACAGCACAATTGTCCTGTTTTTTATGTTTACAGATAGCTAGGGGCATTGCGCATGGTGATCTTAGGCTTGTGTGTGGCTGCTCGGCCATGGAAACCCATTTCATGAAACTCCCGACGAACAGTTCTTGTGCTGACGTTGCTTCTAGAGGCAGTTTGGAAATCAGTAGTGAGTGTTGCAACCGAGGACAGACGATTTTCACGCACTACCAGTGGTGTAAAGTACTTAAGTAAAAATAATTGAAAGCACTACTTAAGTAGTTTTTGGGGTATCTGTACTTTACTTTAATATTTATATATATATATATATATATATTTTTTTTTTTTATAAAAGTTTTTTGTATTTTACCCCCTTTTTCTCCCCAATTTCGTGATATCCCCAACGGGCTCGGGAGAGGCAAAGGTCGAGTCATGCGTCCTCCGAAACATGACCCGCCAAACCGTGCGCCTTAACACCTGCCAGCTTAACCCGGAAGCCAGCCGCACCAATGTGTCGGAGGAAACAACATTAAACTGACGACACGAGTCAGCGTGCATGCGCCCGCCTGCCACAAGGAGTCGCTAGAGCGCGATGGGACCAGGACATCCTGGCCGGCAAAACACTCCGCTAACCCGGACGACGCAGGGCCAATTGGCACAGCGTCGTCCGGGTTTGGCCGGTGTAGGCCGTCATTGTAAATAAGAATTTGATCTTAACTGACTTGCCTAGTTAAATAAAGGGAAAAAATAAAATAAAAATAAAAAACATATCCTTGCCTGTGAAGCCCTGTTTGTGCAAAGCAATGATGACGGCACGTGTTTCCTTGCAGGTAACCATGGTTAACAGAGGAAGAACAATGATTTCAAGCACCCACCCTCCTTTTAAAGCTACCTGTCTGTTATTCTAACTCAATCAGCATGACAGAGTGATCTCCAGCCTTGTCCTCGTCAACACTCTCACCTGTGTTAACGAGGGAATCACTGACATGATGGTAGCTGGTCCTTTTGTGGCAGGGCTGAAATGCAGTGGAAATGTTTTTGGGGGATTAAGTTCATTTTCATGGCAAAGAGGGACTTTGTAATTAATTGCAATTCATCTGATCACTGTTCATGACATTCTGGAGTATATGCCAATTGCAATCATCAAAACTGAGGCAGCAGACTTTATGAAAATTAGTATTTGTGTCATTCTCAAAACTTTTCACCACGACTGTACAGTCTTCCTTCTACTCACTCTGTCAATTAGGTTAGTATTGTGGAGTAACTATAATGTTGTTGATCCATCCTCAGTTTTCTCCTATCACAGCCAATGAACTCTGTAACTGTTTTAAAGTCACCATTGGCCTCATGGTGAAATCCCTGAGCGGTTTCCTTCTTCCGGCAACTGAGTTAGGAAGGACGCCTGTATCTTTGTATTGCCTTGGTGTATTGATCCACCATCCAAAGTATAATTAATAACTTCACCATGCTCAAAAGGATATTCAATGTCTGCTTTTATTTGTATTTTTACCCATCCTTCTTTGCGAGGCATTGGAAAACCTCCCTGGTCTTTGTGGTTGAATCTGTGTTTGAAATTCACTGCTCGACTGAGGGATGTTACAGATAATTCTATGTGTGGGGTACAGAGATTAAGTAGTCATTAAAAAAATCATGTTAAACACTATTATTGCACACATAGTGAGTCCATACAACTTATTATGTGACTTGTTAAGCACATTTTTACTCCTGAACTTATTTAGGTTTGCCATAAAAAAGGGAATGAATACTTATTGTGTCAAGAAATTTCAGCCTTTCGGTTTTTTATTAATTTGTTAACACATAATTCCACTTTGACATTATGGGGTATTGTATGTAGGCCAGTGAATAAAGAAATCTCAATTTAATCAATTTTAAATTCAGGCTGTAACACAACAACATGTGGAAAAAGTCAAAGTGTGTGAATACTTTTGAAGGCACTGTACTTTGAAGAACTACTAAAATAGTGATTTTTGTCAGATAGCATAGGCAGCAGCTCTATAGAGATGAGATGATGACATAGTGTGAAATAATAAAGTCATCAAATAAAACACATGTAATACAGTGCCTTCGGAAAGTATTCAGACCCCTTTACTTTTTCCACATTTTGTTACGTTACAGCCTTATTCTAAAATGGATTAAATAAATACAAATCCTCAGCAAACTACACACAATACCCAATAATGACAAAGCGAAAACAGGTTTTTAGTTTATTTTCTTTTACATAAGTATTCAGACCCTTTGCAATGAGACTCGAAATTGGGATCAGGTGAATCCTGTTTCCATTGATCGTCCTTGAAATGTTTATACAACTTGATTGGAGTCCACCTGTGGTAAATTCAATTGATTGTACATGATTTGGAAAGATTATATAAGGTCCCACAGTTGACAGTGCAGGTCAGAGCAACAACCAAGCCATGAGGTCGAAGGAATTGTCTGTAGAGCTCCGAGACAGAATTGTGTCGAGGCACAGATCTGGGGAAGGGTATAGTGGCCTCCATCATTCTCTAATGGAAGAAGTTTGGAACCACCAAGAGTCTTCCTAGAGCTGGCCGCCCAGCCAAACTGAGCAATCGGTGGAGAAGGGCCTTGGTCAGAGAGGTGACCAAGAACCCGATGGTCACTCTGACAGAGCTCTAGAGTTCCTCTGTGGAGATGGGAGAACCTTCCAGAAGGACAACCATCTCTTTGAGCCAGGCCCATGAGATGAGCCAGGCCCATCTCCCGGCTATCTACCTCTCTGTCAACCGGACGGGACCACCTAGTGTGACACGGAGACCCGCCGATCCAACACGACAGGTCTGCCGACGAAATCGTCTGATGTGGTTACAACAGGCTTCCCGTTACGACGTCGACCACGAAGATTCCATCTGCTAGCCCCGGCCCGCTAGCACACGCTAGCCGTGGCCTCTTGCTCGCTAGTGCTTTAGCAGCCTCCGAACTACCTCCGAACTATCCTATTGCTGTTCACCGGACCTTATGATAACTCAGCTATACAGCTGATGCCTGCTGGACTGTTCCTTTTTACGGTACCGCATCCTGTTTATGTTTAGCCTCAGCCCAAACTGTGTCGCCATTACCAGCTGTTGTCTTAGCTCTCTCATATTACACCTGTGATTGCGTTATGCCTCTCTCCCATGTCAATATGGTTTCCTTATTGCTGTTTCGGTTATTTCTAATTGTACTATTTCACTGTAGATCCCCCAGCCCAGCTAAACCTGCCTTAGATAGCTCCTTTGTCCCACCCCCCATACACGCGGAGACCAACTCAATCGGTGCCTCCAGTTATGCTATCTCTTTCATTGTTACCCAACGCTTAGGTTTACCTCCACTTTACTCATATCCTTCCATATCCTTGTCTGTACATAATGCCCTGAATCTTTTCTACAACGCCCGGAAATCTGCCCCCTTATTCTCTGTACCCAATGCACTAGAAGACCAGTTCTTAAAGCCTTTAGCCGTATCCTTATTCTAGTCCTCCTCTGTTCCTCTGGTGATGTAGAGGCTAACCCAGGCTTTGCAGCCCCCAGTATCACTCCTACTCCCCAGGCGCTATCATTTGTTGACTTCTGTAACCGTAAAAGCCTTGGTTTCTTGCATGTTAATATCAGAAGTCTCCTTCCTAAATTTGAGTTATTCACTGCGTTAGCACACTCCGCCAATCCTGATGTTCTAGCAGTGTCTGAATCCTGGCTTAGGAAGGCCACCAAAAATTCTGAAATGTCCATCCCCAACTATAACATTTTCCGTCTAGATAGAACTGCCAAAGGGGGTGGAGTTGCAATCTACTGTAGAGATAGCCTGCAGAGCTCTATCATACTATCCAGGTCTGTGCCCAAACAGTTTGAGCTTCTACTTCTAAAAATCCACCTTTCCAGAAATAAGTCTCTCACTGTTGCCGCTTGCTACAGACCCCCCTCAGCCCCCAGCTGTGCCCTGGACACCATATGTGAATTGATTGCCCCCCATTTATCCTCAGAGTTCGTACTGCTTGGTGACCTAAATTGGGATATGCTTAACACCCCGGCCATCCTACAATCCAAACTAGATGCCCTCAATCTCACACAAATTATCAACAAACCTACCAGGTACAACCCTAAATCCGTAAACATGGGTACCCTCATAGATATCATCCTGACTAACTTACCCTCTAAATACACCTCCGCTGTCTTCAACCAGGATCTCAGCGATCACTGCCTTATTGCCTGCGTCCGTAACGGGTCCGCGGTCAAACGACCACCCCTCATCACTGTCAAACGCTCCCTAAAACACTTTAGCGAGCAGGCCTTCCTAATTGACCTGGCCCAGGTATCCTGGATGGATATAGATCTCAAAAAGTTTTGTGACACTGCAAAGTCCATGGAGAATAAGAGCACTTCCTCCCAGCTGCCCACTGCACTGAGGCTAGGAAACACTATCACCACCGATAATTCTACAATAATCGAGAATTTCAACAAGCATTTTGCTACGGCTGGCCATGCGTTCCACCTGGCTACCACTACCCCGGCCACCAGCTCTGCACCCTCCGCTCCAACTTGCCCATGACCCCCCCGCTTCTCCTTCACACAAATTCAGACAGCTGATGTTCTGAAAGAGCTGCACAATCTGGACCCCTACAAATCAGCTGGGCTAGACAATCTGGACCCTTTCTTTCTAAAACTAGCCGCCGAAATTGTCGCAACCCCTATTACTAGCCTGTTCAACCTCTCTTTCGTAACGTCTGAGATCCCCAGAGATTGGAAAGCTGCCGCGGTCATCCCCCTCTTCAAAGGGGGTGACACTCTAGATCCAAACTGTTACAGAACTATATCCATCCTGCCCTGCCTTTCGAAAGTATTTGAAAGCCAAGTTAACAAACAGATCACCGACCATTTCGAATCCCACCGTACCTTCTCCGCTATGCAATCCGGTTCCGAGCTGGTCATGGGTGCACTTCAGCCACGCTCAAGGTCCTAAACGATATTATAACCGTGATCGATAATAGACAGTACTGTGCAGCCGTCTTCATCGACCTGGCCAAGGCTTTCGACTCTGTCAACCACCGCATTCTTATTGGCAGACTAAATAGCCTTGGTTTCTCAAATGACTGCCTCGCCTGGTTCACCAACTACTTCTCAGATAGAGTTCAATGTGTCAAATCGGAGGGCCTGTTGTCTGGACCTATGGCAGTCTCTATGGGGGTGCCACAGGGTTCAATTATTGGGCCGACTCTTTTCTCTGTGTATATCAGTGATGTCGCTCTTGCTGCTGGTGACTCTCAGATCCACCTCTACGCAGACGACACCATTTTGTATATATCTGGCCCTTCATTGGACACTGTGTTAACAAACCTCCAAACGAGCTTCAATGCCGTACAACACTCCTTCAGTAGCCTCCAACTGCTCTTAAACACTAGTAAAACTAAATGCATGCTCTTCAATCTAACGCTGCTGGTACCCGTCCACCCGACTAGAATCACTACTCTCGACAGGTCTGACCTAGAGTATGTGGACAACTACAAATATCTAGGTGTCTGGTTAGACTGTAAACTCTCCTTCCAGACTCACATTAAGCATCTCCAATCCAAAGTTAAATCCAGAATCGGCTTCCTATTTCGCAACAAAGCCTCCTTCACTCATGCTGCCAAACATGCCCTCATAAAACTGACTATCCTACCGATCCTTGACTTCGGCGATGTCATTTACAAAATAGCCTCCAACACTCTACTCAACAAATTGGATGTAGTCTATCACAGTGCCATCCGTTTTGTCTCCAAAGCCCCATACACTACCCACCACTGTGACCTGTACGCTCTTGTTGGCTGGTCCTCATTACATGTTCGTCGTCAAACCCACTGGCTCCAGGCCATCTATAAATCACTGCTAGGCAAATCCCCGCCTTATCTTAGCTCATTGGTCACCATAGCAACACCCACCCGTAGTATGCGCTCCAGCAGGTATTTCTCACTGGTCATCCCCAAAGCCAACACCTCCTTTGGCCGCCATTCCTTCCAGTTCTCTGCTGCCAATGACTGGAACGAATTGCAAAAATCTCTGAAGCTGGAGACTCTTATCTCCCTCACTAACTTTAAGCATCAGTTGTCAGAGCACCTTACTGATCACTGCACCTGCACACAGCCCATCTGAAATTAGCCCACCCAACTATCCCTATATTGTTATTTATTTTGCTCATTTGCACCCCAGTATCTCTATTTGCACATAATCTCTTGCACATCTATCATTCCAGTGTTAATACTAATTGTAATTATTTTGCACTATAGCCTATTTATTGCCTTACCTCCATAACTTGCTACATTTGCACACACTATATATATTTTTTCTGTTGTATTTTTTGACTTTATGTTTTGTTTTACCCCATATGTAACTCTGTGTTGTTGTTTTTATCGCACTGCTTTGCTTTATCTTGGCCAGGTCGCAGTTGTAAATGAGAACTTGTTCTCAACTGGCTTACCTGGTTAAATAAAGGTGAAATAAAAAAATAAATAAAAAATCTCTGCAGGACTACACCAATCAGGCCTTTATGGTAGAGTGGCCAGACGGAAGTCATTCCTCAGTAAAAGGCACATGACAGCCCGCTTGGAGTTTGCCAAAAGTCACATAAAGACTCTCAGACCATGAGAAACAAGATTCTCTGGTCTGGTGAAACCAAGATTGAACACTTTGGCTTGAATGCCAAGCGTCACGTCTGGAGGAAACCTGGCACCATCCCTACGGTGAAGCATGGTGGTGGCAGCATCATGCTGTGGGGATGTTTTTCAGCGGCAGGGACTGGGAGACTAGTCAGGATCGAGGCAAAGATGAACGAAGCAAAGTACAGAGATATCCTTGATGAAATCCTGCTCCAGAGTGCTCAGGACCTCAGACTGGGGCGAAGGTTCACCTTCCAACAGGAGTGGCTTCGGGACAAGTCTCTGAATGTCCTTGAGTGGCCCAGTCAGAGCCCGGACCTGAACCCGATCGAACATCTCTCGAGAGACCTGACAATAGCTGTGCAGCAACACTCCCCATCCAACCTGACAGAGCTTGAGAGGATCTGCAGAGAATAATTGATTTTTTAAAATCAATTTTAGAATAAGGCTGTAATGTAACAAAATGTGGAAAAAGTCAAGGGGTCTGAATACTTTATAATCAAACCGAAACCGAAACAACCTTTAAAAAACACTAATTGCTCAGCACTAATACAGCCATTTAGCCACGACATGACCTCCCAATCCTTTCTAAGTACATAAACACTACCCTGAGTGCTTTTTTGTTTGTGCTATCATGCCAACTCCTTGTCACTCATTGTCATGCCAAACAGTGTGGTCTCACGGCAATCTCAACGTTTAATATACAGCCAGGCTACATAAACACACACAGGCCCCTTTCTGTGATTCTGATTCCTGTCTGCTAGATTTGGTCCTATCTGGTCCTTATTCTTCTCTCCTCTCCTACAGCGTCTTTCACGGAGGAGCAGCACCTGTGGTTCCTGGAGTTCTATAAGAAGCTGTGTGTACTGGGCCTGCAGCATGAAAACGGCCACTCGGACAACCAGGTCTACCCGCTGGAGCTGGAGAGCAAGTACGCCCTGGTGCGACACAATTGCGCCTACAACTTCCCTGTGAGTGACCGCTGACCAACACACGCACACATTTATGCATACAAACACACACACAGACGTTTGTGTCTAGAATGGTCTCTGAAGTCTAGCAGCGTGTTTGAAGGAATCAAGTCTGTAACTGTTCTGTCTGTCTGTCTAATCTGTCTGTCTGCCTGCCTCTGTTTTTTATAAAAATGTCTTAAGTGTTGCAGCTACGTGTTGCAAACACCTTACAAGGTTGAAAAGCTTGATGAACGTTGAACTTTCTGTCTGTAGAGGGGAATAGTGTGCTTGATAGTCAGTTATTGCATGCACCTTTACAGTAACATTTACGTCATTTAGCAGACGCTCTTATCCAGAGCGACTTACAAATTGGATGTTGTCATCCAGAGTTACATGTATTTGTTTTCCAAGTTATAACACACAACATTTTACAAACAGCAGGTTTTTAATGGACCAAAGAGTTAGGACTGCTTTGTGTTTTCATTTTTGGCATGAACATTTTTTTGCGATACTGGTATCGTCACAGCCCTAGTGTACAGTACTGTATACCGTGCATTCGGAAAGTATTCAGACCCCTTGACTTTTTCCACATTTTGTTACATTACAGCCTTATTCTAAAATTGATTAAATTGTTTTTTCCCCCTCATCAATCTACACACAATACCACATAATGACAAAGCAAAAACCGCTTTATAGAAATGTTTGCAAATTTATAAGAAACTGAAATTTCACATTTACATAGGTATTCAGACCCTTTACTCAGTACTTTGTTGAAGCTCCTTTGGCAGCGATTACAGCATTGAGTCTTCTTGGGTATGATGCTACAAGCTTGGCACACCTGTATTTGGAGAGTTTCTCCCATTCTTCTCTGCAGATCCTCTCAAGCGCTGTCAGGTTGGATGGGGAGGGTCACTGCACAGCTACAGTGAGGGGAAAAAAGTATTTCATCCCCTGTTGATTTTGTACGTTTGCCCACTGACAAAGACATGATCAGTCTATAATTTTAGTGGTAGGTTTATTTGAACAGTGAGAGACAGAATAACAACAAAAAAACGCATGTCAAAAATGTTATAAATTGATTTGCATTTTAATGACGGAAATAAGTATTTGAACCCCTCTGCAAAACATGACTTCTTGGTGGCAAAACCCTTGTTGGCAATCACAGAGGTCAGACGTTTCTTGTAGTTGGCCACCAGGTTTGCACACATCTCAGGAGGGATTTTGTCCCATTCCTCTTTGCAGATCTTCTCCAAGTCATTAAGGTTTCAAGGCTGACGTTTGGCAACTCGAACCTTCAGCTCCCTCCACAGATTTTCTATGGTATTAAGGTCTGGAGACTGGCTAGGCCACTCCAGGACCTTAATGTGCTTCTTCTTGAGCCACTCCTTTGTTGCCTTGGCCTTGTGTTTTGGGTCATTGTCATGCTGGAATACCCATCCACGACCCATTTTCAATGCCCTGGCTGAGGGAAGGAGGTTCTCACCCAAGATTTGACGGTACATGGCCCCGTCCATCGTCCCTTTGATGCGGTGAAGTTGTCCTGTCCCCTTAGCAGAAAAACACCCACAAAGCATAATGTTTCCACCTCCATGTTTGACGGTGGGGATGGTGTTCTTGGGGTCATAGGCAGCATTCCTCCTCCTTCAAACACGGCGAGTTGAGTTGATGCCAAAGAGCTCGATTTTGGTCTCATCTGACCACAACACTTTCACCCAGTTCTCCTCTGAATCATTCAGATGTTCATTGGCAAACTTCAGACGGGCCTGTATATGTGCTTTCTTGAGCAGGGGGACCTTGCGGGCACTGCAGGATTTCAGTCCTTCACGGCGTAGTGTGTTACCAATTGTTTTCTTAGTGACTATGGTCCCAGCTGCCTTGAGATCATTGACAAGATCCTCCCGTGTAGTTCTGGGCTGATTCCTCACCGTTCTCATGATCATTGCAACTCCACGAGGTGAGATCTTGCATGGAGCCCCAGGCCGAGGGAGATTGACAGTTATTTTGTGTTTCTTCCATTTGCGAATAATCGCACCAACTGTTGTTACCTTCTCACCAAGCTGCTTGGCGATGGTCTTGTAGCCCATTCCAGCCTTGTGTAGGTCTACAATCTTGTCCCTGACATCCTTGGAGAGCTCTTTGGTCTTGGCCATGGTGGAGAGTTTGGAATCTGATTGATTGATAGCTTCTGTGGACAGGTGTCTTTTATACAGGTAACAAGCTGAGATTAGGAGCACTCCCTTTAAGAGTGTGCTCCTAATCTCAGCTCGTTACCTGTATAAAAGACACCTGGGAGCCAAAATCTTTCTGATTGAGAGGGGGTCAAATACTTATTTCCCTCATCAAAATGCAAATCAATTTATAACATTTTTGACATGCGTTTTTCTGGATTTTTGTTGTTGTTATTCTGTCTCTCACTGTTCAAATAAACCTACCATTAAAATTATAGACTGATCATTTCTTTGTCAGTGGGCAAATGTACAAAATCAGCAGGGGATCAAATACTTTTTTCCCTCACTGTATTTTCAGGTCTCTCCAGAGATGTTCGATTTTGTTCAAGTCTTGGCTCTGGCTGGGCCACTCAAGGACATTCAGAGACTTGTCCCGAAGCCACTCCTGCGTTGTCTTGGCTGTGTGCTTAGGATCGTTGTCCTGTTGGAAGGTGAACCTTTGCCCCAGTCTGAGGTCCTGAGCGTTCTGGAGCAGGTTTTCATCAAGGATCTCTCTGTACTTCATTCCCTTTGTCCTGACTAGTCTCCCAGTCCCTGCCGCTGAAAAAACATCACCACAGCATGGTGCTGCCACCAACTTGCTTCACTGTAGGGATGGTGCCAGGTTTCTTCCAGACGTGATGCTTGGCATTCAGGCCAAAGAGTTCAATCATGGTTTCATCAGACCAGAGAATCTTGTTTCTCATGGTCTGAGAGTCTTTAGGTGCCTTTTGGCAAACTCCAAGTGGGCTGTCATGTGCCTTTTACTGAGGAGTGGCTTCCGTTTGGCCACTCAACCATAAAGGCCTGATTGGTGGAGTGTTGCAGAGATGGTTGTCCTTCTGGAAGGTTCGCCCATCTCCACAGAGGAACTCTGGAGCTCTGACAGAATGACCATCGGGTTCTTGGTCACCTACCTGACCAAGGCCCTTCTCCCCCGATTGCTCACTTTGGCCGGGCGGCCAGCTCTAGGAAGAGTCTTGGTGATTCCAAACTTCTTCCATTTAAGAATGTTGGAGGCCACTGTGTTCTTGGGGACCTGCAATGCTGCTGAAATGTTTTGGTACCCTTCCCCATAGCTGTGCCTCGACACAATCCTGTCTCGGAGCTCTACGGACAATTCTTTCGACCTCATGGCTTGGTTTTTGTTCTGACATGCACTGTCAACTGTGGGACCTGATATAGAACGGTGTGTGCCTTTCCAAATAATGTCCAATAAATTGAATTTACCACAGGTGGACTCCAGTCAAGTTGTAGAAACATCTCAAGGATGATCAATGGAAACAGGATGCACCTGAGCTCAATGTTGAGTCTCATAGCAAAGGGTCTGCATACTTATGTATATAAGGTATTTCTGTTTTTTACTTTTTTATACATTTGCAAACATTTCTAACAACCTGTTTTCATTTTGTCATTATGGGGTATTGTGTGTAGATTAATGAGGAAAAGTATTTATTTAATCCATTTTAGAATAAGGCTGTAACGTAACAACATTTGGAAAAGGTCAAGGGGTCTGAATACTTTCCGAATGCACTGTACCTGCACGTGTGGGTGTTTTCATGAGTCAGGCACATGTGTTTTTTTACCGCAAGGATCCACCCCCTGACATGATAGTGTATCTGCATACTCTGTCAGCACGCGGAAGTTAAAAGGTTTTCCCAATGTCATGGGGCTTTAGAGAGTGACACAAACACACACACACGCATATCATTATTACCATCGTCACACACTCATACACACACACAGCCCATGTAATGGGGTCAGGAGGGTAGAGGAGACGCCTTTAAAAATAGGCCTGATGAGAGGCCTTGTCCACAGCTCTTTTGTTCCCACAGGCAGGGAGGGTCTCCTCCCCTGGTCCAGCTAGGTGTCTCTGCATCCCAAATAGCACCCTATTCCCTACATGGTCCACTACTTTTGACCAGGGCCCATAGCTCTGGTCAAAAGTAGTGCACTATGTAGGGAATAGGGTGCCAATTGGTATGCAGCCTAGGTGTGCCTGCTTCACTCAAGCCCTCAATAATGTATCAGTTGGTACTAACTGTGGTGCAGTTCAGGGTCATGGTTATTCGGTCACACCGTAGCAAAACGTTTTGCAACAGAATATGAAAACGAAGGCCTCCCGAGTGGCGCAGCGGTCTAAGGCACTGCATCGCAGTGTTGCGGCGTCAATACAGCCTGGGGTTCCATCCCAGGCTGTGTCATTACCGGCCGTGACCGGAAGTCCCATAGGGCGGCGCACAATTGGTCCAGCGTCGTCCGGGTTAGGGGAGGGTTTGACCGGGGGGTTTTTACTTGGCTCATCGTGATCTAGCGACTCCTTGCGCGGGCCGGGCGCCTGCAAGCTGACTTCAATCATCAGTTGAACTGTGTTTCCTCCGACACATTGGTGCAGCTGGCTTCCGGGTTAAGCGAGCGGGTGTTAAGAAGCGCGGTTTGGCGGGTTATGTTTTGGAGGACGCATGACTCGACCTTCGCCTCTCCCGAACCCGTTGGGGAGTTGCAGCGATGAGACAAGATCATAATCACGAAATTGGGGAGAAAAAGGGGGTAAAAATTACAACAACAAAAAAACATATAATAATAATTTGAAAACGAGTGCTTTTTATTAAACAAGTTTAGTAAGTACCTCCCCATTTCCTTCCGTTTGGTGGCCAATGAACTCGACCCATTTCTCTGCAGAGTTAAACCTTGCCAACTGTCTCAAAAGAGAAGGCAAGCATCAGGGAAACTGTCACAAAGTTCATTGCATTTTAGTGTCTGTTCAGCATTTTAGTATGGAATTGTTTTAATTCAAGTGTTGAATTAAAGTGTTGTTCACACACTGTACAAGACTTATTGCTCTGAGTACTTGCAGATAATAACTTTATATTCAAAATAGAAACTACAGCACAATGGCATTCTTGTATGTTCCACAAAGTTTCTGATGAATCTTAGTAAATAAAAAGAATTGGGCTATAGAATGCCATTTTGAACAAGTTATCACTCTGTGACATCACTTTTTCTTCAGGCCATGGTGTTATTCGCTGACCCCAACCACTTCCTGACGGAGCTTTACCCCACCTTCTCCAGTCTGTGTCATGACCCCGAGATCACGGTGCGACGCACAGTGGCCGAGGGCTTCCACGAGGTATGGTGGCTGCTGTTTGGACACTGGCTAATTCTGTTCTGTCAATAAAATACATAAAGGATGTCCATAGTCCATAACTCTGATAGGCTGCCAATGTGATTTGTGTCATTACACGAATAGAGTGCCTTTTGGGTAGAGTAATTTTGTCAAAAACTAACTATTTAAGTGACAGGGTTGACCGTAACAGGGTTGATGATTTAATCTTAAATCAGCCATAACTCCCCTTGTGACAGGGGGAATGGGAGCGTGTTATGTGCAACAGAGAGGGGCTATTGAATGTACAGTGGGTATCATAAGTATTCTCCCCCCCTTGGATATTTTCACAATTTGTTGCGTTACAAAGTGGGATTGAAATAGATTTAATTGAGATTTTTTTTGTCATTGATCTACACAAAATAATTCATAATGTCAAAGTAAAATAAAATAACAAATAATAATCTTCATTAATAACAATTTAATAACTAAGATATAGACGTCACATAAGTATTCAACCTCTTTCTTTAGGCAAGCCTAAATTAGTTCAGGAGTAAAATTTGGCTTAACAAATCACACTAAGTTACATGGACTCACACAATTGTCCTTCTGAACTGAGCTGCAGGACAGGAAGGAAACTGCTCAGGGTCCCACGGTTGACAGTGCATGTCAGAGCAAAAAGCAAGCCATGAGGTCGAAGGAATTGTCCGTAGAGCTCCGAGACATGATTGTGTCGAGGCACAGATCTGCAGCATTGAAGTTCCTCTGTGGAGATGGGAGAACCTTCCAGAAGGACAACCATCTCTGCAGCACTCCACCAATCAGGCCTTTATGGTAGAGTGGCCAGATGGAAGCCAATCCTCAGTAAAAGCCACATGACCGCCTGCTTGGAGTTTGCCAAAAGGCACCTAAAGGACTCTCAAACCATGAGAAACAAGATTCTCTGGTCTGATGAAACCAAGATTGAACTCTTTGACTGAATGCCAAGTGTCACATATGGAGGAAACCTGGCACCATCCTTGATGAAAACCTGCTCCAGAGCAGTCAGGACCTCAGACTGGGGCGACGGTTCATCTTCCAACAGGACAACGACAACTAAGCACACAGCCAAGACAACGCAGGAGTGGCTTCGGGACAAGTCTCTGATTGTCCTTGAGTGGCCCAGCCAGAGCCCAAACTTGAACATGATCGAACATCTCTGAAAATGACCTGAAAATAGCTGTGCAGTGACGCTCCCATCCAACTTGACAGAGCTTGAGAGGATCTGCAAAGAAGAATGGGAGAAACTCCCCAAATACAGATGTGCCAAGCGTCATACCCAAGAAGACTCAAGGCTGTAATCGCTGCCAAAGGTGCTTCAACAAAGTACAGATTAAAGGGTCTGAATACTTATGTAAATGTGGTATTTCCGTTTTTTATAAAATTTGCAAAAATTTCTAAAAACCTGTTTTTGCTTTGTCATTATGGGGTGTTGTGTGTAGATTGATGAGGGGGGAAACAATTGAATCCATTTTAGAAATGAGGCTGTAACGTAACAAAATGTGGGAAAAGTCAAGGGGTCTGAATAGTTTCTGAGTGCACTGTAATTACCTAAATGACAGAGTGAAAAGAAGACTACAAATATACAGAATAAGTATATTCCAAAACATGCATCCTGTATGCAACAAAGCACTAAAGTAATACTGCAAAAAAAAAACACATCAAAGGAATACACTTTTTGGCCTAAAGTCAAAACCTTATGTTTGGGGCAAATCCAACACAACACATCACTGAGTTAACTGCCTCCTTATTTTCAAGCATGGTGGTGGCTGCATCATGGTATGAATATGCTTGATATCGGCAAAGACTTGGGAGTTTTTCAGAATAAAAAGAAACAGGATGGAGCTAAGCACAGGCAAAATCAAAGAGGAAAACCAGCTTCAGTCTTCTTTACACCAGACACTGGGAGAGGAATTCACCTTTCAGAAGGACAATAACCTACAACACAAGACCAAATCACTGGAGTTGCTTACCAAGAAGACAGTGAATGTTTCTGAGTGGCTAAGTTACAGTTTTGACTTAAATCTGCTTGAAAATCTATGGCAAGACTTGAAAATTGCTGTCTATCGATGATCCCCAACAACTTGACAAAGCTTGAAGAATTCTGAATATTGCAAATTCCAGGTGTGCAAAGCTCTTCGAGACTTACCTAATAAGACTCACAGCTGTAATCGCTGCCAAAGGTGTTTCTAACATGTATTGACTCAGCTGGGTGAATACTTACAGTTGAAGTCGGAAGTTTACATACACTTAGGTTGTAGTCATTAAAACTTGTTTTTCAACCACTCCAGAAATGTCTTGTTAACAAACTATAGTTTTGGCAAGTCGGTTAGGACATCTACTTTGTGCATGACACAAGTCATTTTTCCAACAATTGTTCACAGACAGATTATTTCACTTATAATTCACTGTATCACAATTCCAGTGGGTCTGAAGTTTACATACACTAAGTTGACTGTGCCTTTAAACAGCTTGGAAAATTCCAGAAAATTATGTCATTGCTTTAGAAGCTTCTGATAGGCTAATTGACATCATTTGAGTCAATTGGAGGTGTACCTGTGGATGTATTTCAAGGCCTACCTTCAAACTCAGTGCCTCTTTGCTTGACATCATGGGAAAATCAAAAGAAATCAGCCAAGACCTCAGAAAGAAAATTGTAGACCTCCACAAGGCTAGTTCATCCTTGGAAGCAATTTCCAAATGCCTGAAGGTACCACGTTCATCTGTACAAACAATAGTACGCAAGTATAAACACCATGGGATGACGCAGTCGTCATACGGCTGGGTCTTCCAAATGGACAATGACCCCAAGCATACTTCCAAAGTTGTGGCAAAATGGCTTAAGAACAACAAAGTCAAGGTATTGGAGTGGCCATCACAAAGCCCTGACCTCAATCCTTTAGAAAATGTGTGGGCAGAACTGAAAAGGCGTGTGCGAGCCAGGAGGCCTACAAACCTGACACAGTTATCTAGCTCTTATTGTGGGAAGCTTGTGGAAGGCTACCCCCAAGGCAATGCTACCTGTATGTAAACTTCTGACCCACTGGGAATGTGATGAAAGAAATAAAAGCTGAAATAAATCATTCTCTCTTTATTATTCTGACATTTCACATTCTTAAAATAAAGTGGTGATCCTAACTGACCTAAAACAGGGAATTTTTACTAGGATTAAATGTCAGGAATTGTGAAAAACTGAGTTTAAATGTATTTGGCTAAGGTGTATGTAAACTTCCGACTTCAACTGTATCTAATCAAGGTACTGTATATCAGTGTTTTATTTTATATTAATCTGTAAAAAAAATATATATATATAATTTTTCTTACACTTTCACATTACAGAATATTTTGTGTAGATTGCTGACAAAAAATTACAATTAAATCCATTTTAATATCACTTTGTAACACAATAAAATGTGAAGAAATCCAAGGGGGATGAATACTTATAATACCCACTGTAAGCTTAAAAAAAGAAGAAGTGTTATCTAGCCTATCTATCTATGGGTAACAGGGTTGGCGTGTTACGCTCAACGTGCTCAGTTTTCCAACACAAAATACCTGAAAATTGTCAAAAAGAGTAGGACCAGCTCACCTGCTTTTACGCTATGATTTCACTATAAGATGTTCAATTAAGTGTTTGACTGTTTTTCTGCTGGCAGTGTTAACAATGCATAAGGTGAAAACGTAAAAAATATTTAAGGCATGTGTAGAAAAGTTTAAAAGCCTTTGTGTCTTAGCCAATGCATGGCAAGAAGAAAAATACCCACGAATGCCTTGGGGCTGAACAAATATACCCACTTTGATAACATGTTTCTTGAGTTATATTAGCTACAAATGTTATATGTATTTCCCAGATCCTGATCCAAAAGCCATTTCTGTGTGCTAAATTTCAGAACAATTCAAAACGTGATAGATCACACTGACACAACACGATGGAGTTTGACAGCCTGAATTCCAATTCCATGTAGTCTGAATCGATTAGTCTAATTGCCTGAAATAGAAATGGATTTGACCTCAAAATCTAGTTTTGTATGCCAACACATAACGTCACAAATTTCTCTTATTTTCTCCTCTTCTCTTCTTTTCTCCTCTTCTCTTCTCCTCCCTCTCTTCTTTCCTATGATTGCTCAGGTTGTCAAGCTGTTGGGCCCCAATGTCCACTTCATTCACAAGGAGCTGGTTGTGTTACTGCAGGACGACTCACTTGAGGTGAGACACGCAGAAGACTCACTTTTACAACAAACACTTTATGTTTGAAAAATTTAGTAAACTAGAAAAGTGCTTGCTAGCTTGTCTTAAAGTATTTATGGTTGTGAAATAAGTTATAGTATTGGTAGTGACTGCAGTAGTAATGGTAGTGACTGGTTATAGTGGGAAAAGTAGGTACATGGAAAGATTGATTGATAGATAGATGCATAGCATAGGATAGGATAGGATAGGATAGCCTGAACGTGAAATTTGATTTGGTATCTAGATTGAACGGTTCAAGAGATACTATTATTGTTGGTGGGTTATTATATGCTAATTTATGATCAAACAAATAATGTTAACGGAGCTACGTAATTTACACTAGAGTGGATTTGAAGTTGGTTCAATGTTTGTAGCTCAAAGTGTCTAGAAACCCATTGAAAGTCATTGGAACCTAAGTTCATTTATGCAAATGTATGCAAACCTAAATATTACTTTAAGTTAATAGTTATGAATCTGTAAAGTGTTTCTACCATCCTGAAGTTGGTTTGGTGTTTCTTTCTTGAATGGTTAGAAAGCAGTATTTTGAATATCTACCTCTCATGGTCGCCATTGAGTCCCATGTTGATTATGCACATTTAAAACCATTATCAAATCAAATCAAATGTTATTGGTCACATACACATTTCTAGCATATGTTATTGCGGGTGTAGCGAAATGCTTGTGTTCCTAGCTCCATCAGTGCAGTAATATCTAACAATTCACAACAATACATACACATCTAAAAGTAAAATAATGGAATTAAGAAATGTATAAATATTAGGATGAGCAATGTCTATGTATATAGGGCAGAAGACTTTAAGGTGCAGGGTTGAGTAACCGGGTGGTAGCCGGCTAGTGATGGCTATTTAACAGTCTGATGACCTTGAGATAGAAGCTGTTTTTCAGCTCAGTCCCAGCTTTGATGCACCTGTACTGACCACGCCTTCTGGATGGTAGCGGGATGAACAGGCCGTGGCTCGGGTGGTTGATGTCCTTGATGATCTTTTTGGCCTTCCTGTGACATCGGGTGCTGTAGGTGTCCTGGAGGGCAGGCAGTGTGCCCCCATTGATGCATTGGACAGACCGCACCACCCTCTGGAGAGCCCTGCGGTTGAGGGCGGTGCAGTTGACGTACCAGGCGGTGATACAGCCCAACAGGATGCTCTCAATTGTGCATCTGTAAAAGTTTGTGAGGGTCTTAGGGGCCAAGCCGAATTTCTTCAGCCATTTCAGATTGTCAGTGATGTGTACGCCAAGGAACTTGAATCTTTTCACCTTCTCCACTGCGGTCCCGTCGATGTGGATAGGGGCATGCTCCCTCTGCTGTTTCCTGAAGTCCACGATCAGCTCCTTCGTTTTGTTGACGTTGAGGGAGAGGTTATTTTCCTGGCACCACTCCGCCAGGACCCTCACCTCCTCCCTGTAGGCTGTCTCGTCATTGTTGGTAATCAGGCCTACTAATGTTGTGTCGTCTGTAAACTTGATGATTGAGTTGGAGGCATGCGTGGCCACGCAGTCATGGGAGAACAGGGAGTACAGGAGGGGGCTGAGCACGCTGTGTTGAGGATCAGCGAAGTGGAGGTGTTGTTTCCTACCTTCACCACCTGGAGGCGCCCATCAGGAAGTCCAGGACCCAGTTGCACAGAGTGGGGTTCAGACCCAGGGCCCCAAGCTTAATGATGAGCTTGGAGGGTACTATGGTGTTGAAGGCTGAGCTATAGTCAATGAACAGCATTCTTCCTCTTGTCCAGATGGGATAGGGCAGTGTGCAGTGCGATGGTGATTGCATCGTCTGTGGATCTATTGGGGCGGTATACAAATTGAAGTGGGTCTAGGGTGTAAAGTAGAGGTGATATGATCCTTAACTAGCCTCTCAAAGCACTTCATGATGACAGAAGTGAGTGCTACAGGGCGATAGTCTTTTAGGTCAGTTACCTTTGCTTTTTTGGGTACAGGAACAATGAACATCTTGAAGCAAGTGGGGACAGCAGACTGGGATAGGGAGAGATTGAATATGTCCGTAAACACTCCAGCCAGCTGGTCTGCGCATGCTCTGAGGACGCGACTAGGGATGCCGTCTGGGCCGGCAGCCTTGCGAGGGTTAACACGCTTAAATGTCTGAGAAGGAGAGCCCACAGTCCTTGGTAGCGGGCCGCGTCGGTGGCACTGTGTTTTCCTCAAAGTGGACGAAGAAGGTGTTTAGCTTGTCCGGGAGCAAGACATCTGTGTCTGCGACGTGGCTGGTATTCCCTTTGTAATCCATGATTGTCTGTAGACCCTGCCACATACGTCTCGTGTCTGAGCCGTTGAATTGCGACACCGCTTTGTCTCTGTACTGACGTTTTGCCTGTTTGATTGCCTTACGGAGGGAATAACTACACTGTTTTTATTCAACCATATTCCCAGTCACCTTGCCATGGTTAAATGCGGTGGTTTGCGCTTTCAGTTTTGCGCGAATGCTGTCATCTATCCACGGTTTTTGGTTTGGGTAGGTTTTAATAGTCAGTGGGAACAACATCCCCTATACACTTCCTGATTAACTTAGTCACCGTGTCTGTGTATACGTCAATGTTATTCTCAGAGGCTACCCGGAACATATCCCAGTCCACGTGATCAAAACAATCTTGAAGCATGGATTCCGATTGGTCAGACCAGCGTTGAATAGACCTTAGCACAGGTACTTCCTGTTTGAGTTTCTGCCTATAGGAAGGGAGGAGCAAAATGGAGTTGTGATCTCATTTGCCGAATGGAGCGCGAGGGAGGGCCTTGTAGGCATCCCGGAAGGGGGAGTAGCAGTGGTCGACCTTTTTTGCAGTGCGAGTACTACAGTAAATGTGTTGATAGAACTTCGGTAGCGTTTTCCTCAAATTTGCTTTGTTAAAATCCCCAGCTACAATAAATGCGGCCTCAGGATATGTGGTTTTCAGTTTGCACAAAGTCCAGTGTAGTTCCTTGAGGGCCGTTGTGGTATCGGCTTGAGGTGCAATATATACGGCTGTGACTATAACCGAAGAGAAGTCTCTTGGGAGGTAATACGGTCGGCATTTGATTGTGAGGTATTCTAGGTCGGGTGAACAAAAGGACTTGAGTTGTTGTACGTTATCACAATCACACTATGAGCAGTTAGTCATGAAACATACACCACCGTCTTTTTTCTTCCCGGAGAGATCTTTATTCCTGTCTGCGCAATGTACTGAGAACCCAGCTGGCTGTATGGACGGAGACAGTAGATCCGGAGAGAGAGCCATGATTCCGTGAAACAGAGTATGTTACAGTCCCTGATGTCTCTCTGGAAGGAGATCCTCGCCCTGAGCGCGTCTACTTTAATGTCCAAGACTGAACATTAGCGAGTAATATTCTCGGAAGCGGTGGATGATGTGTACGCCTCTTGAGTCGGACTAGAAGTCCACTCCGAATACCTCTTCTCCGCCGGCGGCGTCTTGGAGCAGCATCTGGGATAAGTTCAATTGCTCTGGGGGTACGAACAAAGGACCCAATTCGGGAAAGTCGTATTCCTGGTCATAATGCTGGTGAGTTACTGCCGCTCTGATATCCAAAAGTTATTTCCGGCTGTATGTAATAACACAAAAAACGTTCTGGGCTAATAATGTAAGAAATAACAAACAAAAAAACAAAATACTGCAAAGTTGCTTAGGAGCTAGAAGCAGAGCTGCCATGTCTGTCGGCACCATCTTGTTTGTTATGTAAGAGTGCTAGAGCAAGCACACTAAATAGTGTTACGGTCAGTGTCGATCTCCAGGTATGTATGGGCTACTTGCACAAGCTAGCTCAATTTAACCTTCTCTAAGTACAACCCCCCTTGGTTACTGTTGCAACCTCGGACAACATTTTCCCAGGAAGCCCAATTCCCCATTCAAGCACTGGCAAAATTCCCTCACAATGATCTCAAACTGTGTTTCCAATACACAATGAAATTAAACACAGACTACCACTCACTTGTGAGGAAACTCTTGGATATGTTGTGGACTGTCATTACAATTGTTTCACGGGAACCTGGTAAAATGATGTTTGTAGTGTAGATAGCCACTAAATGGCTCTGAATTCACTGTCAGCATGCAGTCAGAGCTATTCCCACTTTTGGAGCCAACTAGTGCTCTCAAATCGTATCCTGATGTCGACAGCAGATTGGGCGTTGTATTCATAACATTGCTAACTTAGCTAGCTAACATACATTTTGAGAAAACTATTTATATTAAGTGGCTAGCTAGCTAGTCTTAGCAACAATTGGTGACCAGTGAGACTGAGAGCTAGCTAACCAGCTGAGCTAGCAAACAATGTAACAAAAGTATAATTTCAGATTAGAAAAATACTCCATCAACAGGCTCTGCATTTCATTAATCACAGTAGCAAGTATTCCTGGTGCACTGTTCAATTATTTAGCCATTTAAACATAACTATTTTGAAGAAAACTCTCAGTTTTTGCCAAAGCCCTCATTGGCTTTCATGCAATTTAAACGTGAGGTTGTTTGAGGTGTCGGACTCGACGACAGTTTCTATCCATTGGAGGCCTGCAATTGGTTGCCCAAAATTATGGTGCGGGGCTTAGCGAAGGGTCAATTAGCCATGATCGCCATTGTCATCAGCATCACCATCATCAGCACTTGGATTATTTACTGTTTGATAATTTAGTGAATTATTCCCTTTGTTAAATCTGTGTTTATCAATGTCAATTGGTGGTAAATACTGCAATGTGTTCCCTCCTCTGAGACAACTGGCTTAGTGATGCACTCAGTTTGTTACTTCATTACACTGATGCACATTCAATTTATTAGGGTATTATCTTAGAATTCAGAACCAAATCAACAAGGCAGAATTCATCTCAGCCTATGCTACCCTCCAGTCCCTCGACTTCTTGGCGCTGACGGAAACATGGATTACCACTGAAAACACTGCTACTCCTACTGCTCTCTCCTCGTCTGACCATGTGTTCTCGCATACCCCGAGAGCATCTGGTCAGCGGGGTGGTGGCACAAGAATCCTCATCTCTCCCAAGTGGACATTCTCTCTTTTTCCCCTGACCCATCTGTCTATCTCCTCATTTCAATTCCATGCTGTCACAGTCACTAGCCCATTCAAGCTTAACATCCTTGTCATTTATCGCCCTCCAGGTTCCCTTGGAGAGTTCATCAATGAGCTTGACGCCTTGATAAGTTCCTTTCCTGAGGATGGCTCACCCCTCACAGTTCTGGGTGACTTCAACCTCCCTACGTCTACCTTTGACTCATTTCTCTCTGCCTCCTTCTTTCCACTCCTCTCCTCTTTTGACCTCACCCTCTCACCGTCCCCCCCTACTCACAAGGCAGGCAATACGCTTGACCTCATCTTTACTAGATGCTGTTCTTCTACTAATCTCACTGCAACTCCCCTCCAAGTCTCCGACCACTACTTTGTATCCTTTTCTCTCTCGCTCTCCTCCAACACTACTCACTCTGCCCCTACTCAGATGGTAATGCGCCGTCGCAACCTTCGCTCTCTCTCTCCCGGTACTCTCTCCTCTTCCATCCTATCATCTCTTCCCTCTGCTCAAACCTTCTCCCTCCAATCTCCTGATTCTGCCTCCTCAACCCTCCTCTCCTCCCTTTCTGCATCCTTTGACTCTCTATGTCCCCTATCCTCCCGGCCCGGCTCGGTCCTCCCCTCCTGCTCCGTGGCTTGATGACTCATTGCGAGCTCACAGAACAGGGCTCCGGGCAGCCGAGCGGAAATGGAGGAAAACTAGACTCCCTGCGGACCTGGCATATTTTCACTCCCTCCTCTCTACATTTTCTTCATCTGTTTCTGCTGCTAAAGCCACTTTCTACCACTCTAAATTCCAAGCATCTGCCTCTAACCCTAGGAAGCTCTTTGCTGGTCCTGCGCACACTGCCCTACCCTATGCTTTGACGTCTTTCTCCCCTCTTTCTCCAGATGAAATCTTGCGACTTGTGACGGCCGGCCGCCCAACAACCTGCCCGCTTGACCCTATCCCCTCCTCTCTTCTCCAGACCATCTCCGGTGACCTTCTCCCTTACCTCACCTCGCTCATCAACTCATCCTTGACCGCTGGCTATGTCCCTTCCGTCTTCAAGAGAGCGAGAGTTGCACCCCTTCTCAAAAAACCTACACTCGATCCCTCCAATGTCAACAACTGCAGACCAGTATCCCTTCTTTCTTTTCTCTCCAAAACTCTTGAGCGCGCCGTCTTTAGCCAACTCTCTTGCTATCTCTCTCAGAATGACCTTCTTGATCAAAACCAGTCAGGTTTCAAGACTGGTCATTCAACTGAGACTGCTCTTCTCTGTGTCACGGAGGCTCTCCGCACTGCTAAAGCTAACTCTCTCTCCTCTGCTCTTGTCCTTCTAGACCTGTCTGCTGCCTTTGATACTGTGAACCATCAGATCCTCCTCTCCACCCTCTCCGAGTTTGGCATCTCCGGCGCGGCTCACTCTTGGATTGCGTCCTACCTGACCGGTCGCTCCTACCAAGTGGCGTGGCGAGAATCTGTCTCCGCACCACGTGCTCTCACCACTGGTGTCCCCCAGGGCTCAGTTCTAGGCCCTCTCCTTTTCTCCCTATACACCAAGTCACTTGGCTCTGTCATATCCTCACATGGCCTCTCCTATCATTGCTACGCAGACGACACACAATTAATCTTCTCCTTTCCCCCTTCTGATAACCAGTTGGCGAATCGCATTTCTGTCTGGCAGACATATCAGTGTGGATGACAGATCACCACCTCAAGCTGAACCTCGGCAAGACGGAGCTGCTCTTCCTCCCGGGGAAGGACTGCCCGTTCCATGATCTCGCCATCACGGTTGACAACTCCGTTGTGTCCTCCTCCCAGAGTGCGAAGAGCCTTGGCGTGACCCTGGACAACACCCTGTCGTTCTCCGCTAACATCAAGGCGGTGACACGATCCTGTAGGTTCATGCTCTACAACATTCGGAGAGGACGACCCTGCCTTACACAGGAAGCGGCACAGGTCCTAATCCAGGCACTTGTCATCTCCCGTCTGGATTACTGCAACTCGCTGTTGGCTGGGCTCCCTGCCTGTGCCATTAAACCCCTACAATTCATCCAGAATGCCGCAGCCCGTCTGGTGTTCAACCTTCCCAAGTTCTCTCACGTCACCCCGCTCCTCCGCACACTCCACTGGCTTCCAGTTGAAGCTCGAATCTGCTACAAGACCATGGTGCTTGCCTACGGAGCTGTGAGGGGAACGGCACCTCCGTACCTTCAGGCTCTGATCAGTCCCTACACCCAAACGAGGGCATTGCGTTCATCCACCTCTGGCCTGCTGGCCCCCCTACCTCTGCGGAAGCACAGTTCCCGCTCAGCCCAGTCAAAACTGTTCGCTGCTCTGGCACCCCAATGGTGGAACAAGCTCCCTCACGACGCCAGGACAGCGGAGTCACTCACCACCTTCCGGAGACACTTGAAACCCCACCTCTTTAAGGAATACCTGGGAGAGGATAAAGTAATCCTTCTACCCCCCCTTACCCCACCCCAAAGAAAAAAAGAAAAAAGAAATATTGTAAAGTGGTTATCCCACTGGCTATAAGGTGAATGCACCAATTTGTATGTCGCTCTGGATAAGAGCGTCTGCTAAATGACGTAAATGGAAATGGAAAATGGAAAATCTCATGTGCGCTAGCCAGTTACAGTGCCTAGTGAAAGTCTACACACCCCTTGCACAGTTTTCACTATCTACACAACCTTCTCTACATTTTCGAAGTGAAAGAAACATCATTTAGAACATTTTCTCCATTAATTAAAAATAACAAACGAAGATGTCTTGATTGCATATGTCTTCACACCCCAGAGTGAATACTTGGCAGCAATTACAGGTGTGAATCATTTTTAATAAGATTCTACCAACTTTGCACAACTCTTAGGGCAACATACATCCATTGTTTTTGTCAAAATTGCTCAAGCTCAGTTTATTTGGTTGGGAATCATTGATGGACAGCAATTTTCAAACCTTGTCTCTGATTTTCAAGCAGATTCAAGTCAGGACTGAAACTGGACCACTCAGGAACACTCAACACCTCTTGGAAAGCCATTCTGGTGTGTCTTTGGCATACATATTTGTGTAATTGTCTGGCTGAGAAATAAAAGTATATCCCAGGGTTAGGTATTCAGAAGATTGAGGCAGGTTTTTCTCTAACTTTTTACCTGGGCTTTGCTCCTTTCATATTTAGTTTGATCCTGACAAACTACCCAGTCCCTGCCGGTGACAAGCATGCCCATAACATTATGCTGCCACCCACCACAGTACTTAGAAATATTATACAGAGACTCGACAATAGAGAGTTCCCAGAGTGATTCTCCCCCTAATTATTTCACCCCTGGACGTCACGCCACTGGAACCAGGGGCAACTCAGGACAGAACACTCTCAGTGAGAATGTGTCCCCAAGGTGCCACAACAGACTGATGGACTAGAAGAGCTGCATCTCATTGGGCTACTCACACAAGCTAGCTCAATTAGCTCCCTGGTGTGTTTAGAACGGCACAGCGGCTTCCGGTGCATTGACACACATCCAAACTCAAGGAGCAGATGTGGCTAACTATGAATTAAATTTGTCAAAACTATCAAAATGCGTGCACAGAATTTGAAAGCTACAGTAATGCTCTGGTGAATTATAAAAATAAATAATTGTAAAGTGTGTTTTCACAAAGCATAAACACTGCGAAGCTGACATTAGCTAGTTAGCCTTCCCATAGACTTTAATTGATTATGACAATTATGAAGATGTCGACCATCATGATGATGATGATGATGATGATGATGAGGATGATGACAACAACAATCATGATAATGATAATTATGTTTTTATTCTGTGCAGGTATTAGATGCGTTGCTAAGCCACCTTCAGGAGACTCTGGAGTTGGCCACATCGAGAGGAGAAGGGCCAGGACCCGAGAGCAAGGTACGTACCCCAGTCTGTGGTCTGCTGCTCTGGGCCTGTATCCACAAAATGTCTCAGAGTAGGAATGCTGATCTAGGATCTGTTCATATAATCTTATTAATCATGATTTAAATGGCAAAACTGATCCTAGATCAGCACTCCTACTCTGAGCGGCTTTGTGGATACTTACCCACGTCTAGTATTCTTTGTGAGTGAGCTAACCCCCTCTGCTGGTTGGTTCTGTGTGGTGCAGCTATCGTATATAAAGATGGATACCTCCTGGATAATGCTCCTACAGTTTTATTCAACGTTTGTGTGGCTACCTATTTTCCAGACTTTTTGTACCCTGAACCTATAAGTTGCGCGTACACTACTGTTTATCTCATAGAATCTGTTTTTTCACTACTTATTTTTTTATAACCTATGTCCCACTCTCCTCTCATACTCTCTTCATCACTCTCTCTAATGTTTCACTCTGTGTTGTTTCGTTCGTTTTATCTTTCCTCTCTTCTCTGTCATCACTCTGGCGATGTTTCTGTATCTCAATCTCTTTTTTGACACTTATCTCTGTGCCTCCCTCCCTCTCTCCCCCTGCCCCCTCTCTACTCACTCTATTTCTCCACCCTCTGGCAATGTCTGTACCTCTCTCACCATATTATTTTTAAACTCTTATCTACACACGTCCATCTCTTTCTCTCTCCCTCCTCTTCTCCCTTTGTCTACCTCACCTCCTCGCTGTCTTATCTCTCTCCTTCCCCTCTCAACCTCACCCCTCTTTTTTATACTATCTTTGTGCCTCCGCCTTCCTCCATTCCCTTCTACATTTCTCTCTCCCACCTCTCTCCCCTCCCTCCCAATGGTGGGTCCAGCAGGCGAACGTCCCCGACCTGGTCCCGGCGCTGGCGGCGGCCGAGCAGAAGGCTGCCTTGTCGCTCCGCTGGCGGGTGCATGAGAGACTGCTGCAACGCTACGCCTGCCTGCCCCGCGTTGTCTCCGCTGACCAGATCTACTTCCGCTTCCTGCAGAGGATGTTCGCCATCGTCACCACCAACGTGAGACTAGTATACCTAGGGAGAATCTAATGGGACAAACTCACATTGAATGACCTAATTGGTTATAGTTAGGGTTTGGGTTAAGCTCAGGGTTAGAGTTATGGCTGGCATGCCAGTCACATCCTTTACACATAATGTAGCTACACACATACGTTGATGAACTAGCCTGAGACCTGAGTAACCTTGCCTAAGACTTGTGTTAGCTCCCTGAGGCAATGCCTAAGCTTCAGCTCAATGGCCTTACACATTCTTACATTGTACAGTGTACAGACGACCCGGGTACTTTCTATTCTTCCCAACGAAAAACACAATGTTACATTGTAAAACGATGTGTTAATCTCTGGTATTAGATGAGTTGATGTAGGATATCACTTTATTCAACTATCCCACAAGGGATAGAAAAGATAGAAACTATAAAATGGAAATCCTACATTGTGTTAACAGCAGGCTGAGGATACATCCCAAGTGGCACCCTACTCCCTTCATAGTGCATCACTACTTTTGACCAGAGCCTATGGGCACTGGTCAAAAGTAGTGCACTGTCAAGGGAATAGGCTGCCATTTGGTACACACGCTCTGTCTCTGCTCACTAAGTGTGTCCACTCCATGTTGTTGCCAGAACGTTCTCCCAGTCCAGAGAGAGGCGGCCAGGACGCTGTGTATGTTCCTACGCTACAACCGCAAGCAGGAGCAGCGGCAAGAGATCATCGGCAAAGTGCTGCAAGGTCTGTGTCTGTCTATCTGTCTGTCTATACATCTATCTATTTTGTTTGCTGACAGTGTTGACAAATATAAACAATACAATACAGACATCTATATGGAAAAAGTGTTTTCACAGGTGCCAGTAGTACACAACCTGTGCCATGATAGATTTTCTAAACAAATGGCTCCCAATTCCCCAACGGTTTTACCTAGAATAAAATAGAAGATTCCTAATGTTTCGCGCAAACGTGGCCGTTTTTGTGACTTTTGTAATGTAATGTATATCCTGCCTCCTCCCCCTTCCCTTCCCCCTCCTTTCCAGAGCTTGCTCAGGGCAGAAGTTACTGGAACAGGCTTCGCTACCTGGACCTGTGTGAGATTGCCATGGAGCTCTTCTCCAAGGCCTACTTCTGCAAACACTTCCTCATCCAGGCCCTGGAGCTGGTCAATGACCCCGTAGCCAACGTCAGGTACTGGATTCAGTAATTCATAAGTTACTTAAGGGGACAAACAGGTTCAAACAACAAACGTCTGTCCCGACTCTTTTTTTGGTGAACATCTGAGGGATGGGGATGGAGAAATGTAACCACTCTCAAATTCATGGACGTAGTTATGGATTCATGGACGTCATCCATTTAACCATGTTTTGAGGCTATACAGGATTTGTTTATAAGCTTATATTTTGGGTTCCGTTGGGGTACGACAGTTGAACTAAGCTCATGAGGCATTTATAAGTTACTGTATATTCTTCAAGAGTAAATGGCTATATATAATTATATATACATATTTATAAGTCAAACCCAATCCCAGATTGCTCCTTTAATTCCTTAATTGGATTTTTAGAGTGCTTTTCCAGATGCTTTACTTCATATGGGGACACCTCACTTCATCCATCATCAATGGCATCCATTTCTAGGCAGCCATTTCTTGTAAGCTCACCACACGTCCGCTTGTACGTTTGCTCTCGTGGTGGAACGTCTAACGTCGCGGGCTGTTGTAGGCAATGGATGAAAGATGATCTTAGTACTATGAAGCTTTAGAGAAATTCATCCTCTGAGTATGCCATGTATATTGACCAGGGGCATGTTCAGGAAGCACTCCCTTGCAAAACGCTTTGCAACAGACAATGAAAATCTGCATTCTTATTGGACACACTCAGGTTGTGCCCTCCCCGTTAGATTTTTTTCTCCTGTTTTGTGCCTAATGAACATGACCCAGGTATAAGCTGTGCCACATGCTGCCCAGGCTGAGGTCCACCATCAGGCTGCCTGCAGACAAACACCTCCTGCAACAGCTGGAGTTCTGTGTCCGCAAGCTACTCTGTCGGGAGAAGGACAAGGATGTGGTTGCCACCGTTCGCAAGGTGAGGGAGGGAAGGGTGGGTGGATGGATGGATGTGAGTAGTGTCTAATTTTGTGGGGATCTGTTGCCTAACATTACTGAGTATTATTTCAATCAAATGGAAAGTATTCAGACCCCATGACTCTTTCCAAATTTGGTTACGTTACATCCTTATTCTAAAATTGATTTTAAAATATGTTTCCCTAATCAATCTACACACAATTCCCCATAATGACAAAGCAAAAACAGGTTTTTACACATTTTTACAAACGTATTAAAAATGAAAAACTGAAATACCTTATTTACATAAGTATTCAGACCCTTTGCTATGAGACTCGAAATTGAGCTCAGTTGCATCCTGTTTCAATTGGTCATCCTTGAGATGTATTGACGAGAAAACAACAACAATTTAATCCATTTTAGAATAAGGCTGTAACATAACAAAATATGGACAAATTCAAGGGGTCTGAATACTTTCCGAATGCACTGTATATAATCTCCTAACAAGATTGAGGCCATACATATCTTACTTGTGTGTGCGTGCGTGTGTATTTAGATTTTTTTCTTTTTTCAGACCGTGCTGGAATTGGACAAAATGGACATCACAGAACCTGTAAGTAACCCCTTACTTTCTTCACTCTTAGAATACTTAAAGAATGGTGATGTAGCAAATAGCAATCTTATAGGCATGAGTGAATTGCTTCGCCCCACAGCCAAGATGCTTAGCTAGGCAGCTAAAGTTGCTTACAGTTAGTTAGCAACCGTTTCTACACTCTTTTGCTAGGTACCATAACGCTGTCGTTTCAAAAACATCTCTCCAAAAATGACGAGGTGTCTCCAGTTGTATTTACATTTGTATTTATTGTATTTATTTTACATGTATTTATATGGTGGGCAGCAGGTAGCCTAGCAGTTAGACCCTAGCGGTTAGCGCATTGGGCCAGTAACCGAAAGGTCGCTGGTTCGAATACCCAAGCCAACAAGGTGAAAAATCTGTCGACATGACCTTGAGCAAGGTACTTAAGCCTAATTTGCTCCAGGCGCGCCGTACTACTATGGCTGACCCTGTAAAACAACACATTTCACTGCACCTATCCGGTGTGTGACTATATATCTAAAATGGATTAAATAAAGAATGTTCCTCATCAATCTACACCCAATACCCCATAATGACAAAGCAAAAACAGGTTTTTAGAAATGTTTGCAAATGTAACAAAAACTAAAAACAGATTTATTTACATCAGTATTCAAACCGTTTGCTATGAGACTCGAAATTTAGCTCAGATGTATCCTGTTTCCATTGATCATCCTTGAGATGTTTCTACAACTAGATTGGAGTCCACCTGTAGTAAATTCAATTGATTTGACATGATTTGGAAAGGCACACACCTGTCTATATAAGGTCCCACAGTTGACAGTGCGTGTCAGAGCAAAAACCAAGCCATGAGGTCAAAGGAATCATCCATAGAGCGAGGCACAGATCTGGGGAAGGGTACCCAAAAATTTCTGCAGCATTGAAGGTCCCCAAGGACACAGTGGCCTACATCATTCTTAAATGGAAGAAGTTTGGAACCACCAAGACTCTTCCAAGAGCTGGCCGCCCAGCCAAACTGAGCAATCAAGGGAGAAGGGCCTTGGTCAGGGAGGTGACCAAGAACCCGATGGTCACTGACAGAGCTCCAGAGTTCCTCTGTGGAGATGGGCGAACCTTCCAGAAGGACAACCATCTCTGAAGCACTCCACCCATCAGGCCTTTATGGTAAAGTGGCCAGACGGAAGCCACTCCTCAGTAAAAGGCACATGACAGCCCGCTTGGGGTTTGCCAAAAGGCACCTAAAGACTCTCAGACCATGAAAAATAAGATTCTCTGGTCTGATGAAACCAAGATTGAACTATTTGGCCTGAATACAAAGCATCACGTCTAGAGGAAACCTGGCACCATCCCTACGGTGAAGCATGGTGGTGGCAGCATCATGCTGTGGGGATGTTTCTCAGCGGCAGGGACTGGGAGACTAAAGATGCAGGATCGAGGAAAAGATGAACGGAGAAAAGTTTGGGATGAGTCGGATGGCAGAGTGAAGGAAAAGCAGCCAACAAGTACTCATCAAGTACTTCAAGACTGTTGGAAAAGCATTCGAGGTGAAGTTGGTTGAGAGAATGCCAAGAGTGTGCAAAGCTGTCATCAAGGCAAAGGGTGGCTATTTGAAGAATCTCAAACACTTTTTTGGTTACTACATGATTCCATATCTGTTATTTCATAGTTATGATTACTTCACTGTTTTTCTACAATGTAGAAAATAGTAAACATAAAGAAAAACCCTTGAATGAGTAGGTGTACTAAAACCTTTGACCGGTAGTGTATATAAATATATATTTACAAAAAATATATATGGGGGATTGGAAATGATGTAGACAATTACATTGATGGGAGCCACAATCTATCTGCAATATTAAAGCTGATCTACCCCCTAATTAAACAAAATAATCTCAACAAACCATTTCTGTATGGACCTCGCTTTGTGCACGGGCACATTGTCATGCTGAAACAGGAACGGGCCTTCCCCAAACTGTTGCCACAAAATTGGAAGCACGGAATCGTCTAGAATGTCATTGTATTCTGTAGCGTTAATATTTCCCTTCACTGGAAGGGGCCAGTGAACTTTACAGTTGGCACTATGCATTGGGTCAGGTAGCGTTCTCCTGGCATCTGCCAAACCCAGATTAGTCCGTCGGACTGCCAGATGGTGAAGTGTGATTCATCACTCCAGAGAACGTGTTTCCACTGCACCAGAGTTCAATGGTGCCGAGCTTTACACCACTCCAGCCGACGCTTGGTATTGCGCATGGTGATCTTAGACTTATGTGCGGCTGCTTGGCCATGGAAACCCATTTCATGGAGCTCCCGACTAACAGTTATTGTGCTGACGTTGCTTCCAGAGGCAGTTTGGAACTCGGTAGTGAATGTTGCAACCGACGACAGACAATTTTTACGCGCTTCAGCACTCGCCTCTGGAAGCAACGCTTCAGCACTGTGAGTGTGCAAAGCTGTCATCAAGGCAAAAGGTGGCTATTTGAAGAATCTCAAATATAAAATATATTTTGATTTGTTTAACACTTTTTTGGTTATTACATGATTCCATATGTGTTGTTTCATAGTTGTGATGTCTTCACTATTATTCTACAATGTAGAAAATAGTACAATTTTTTTTTTTTTTTAAGACGAATGAGTAGGTGTGTCCAAACTTTTGACTGGTATTGTGTGTGTGTGTATATGTATATATAACATTTAATCATGCATATTCACTTTCTATAAACATACAACTTTATTATCCCTAATGGTTGCCTTCTATTGTTACATGATTGAATTGCTAGCACAGGTCTGATTGAATACAGTCTAATATGTACTTTTCCATTTTAGTACCATAAGAGACACGAGAGAGATCTACTAGACCAGAAGAAAGAGAAGGAAGAGACACTACTACTGGAGATGGTGAGCGATTTGTATAAAAATAAAAATAACTCCCACACAAACGATTTTGCCAATCGTGTGGCGGGAGTTATTTTTATACAGTGTAGATTTTGGGGCAGTAACTCGTAGCACCACACACAAGATAAGCTTCTTCTAAAGATGGTGAGGGATTTGACACCATCCTGTCAATACCGTGCACTATGTCATTAAACACCGCCTTGTTCTTGTTATTTGTAGCACCAATATTTTATAAGCTCCCTTAATGCGTACAGCACTGTCAGTTTATTATTAGTGGGAAATAGAACAAGCAAACATGCGTCTTTGTTCAAAACAATATAGTTTTCTTTTCTTTTTCATACTCGTGCATATATTTGCATGAATGAACCTTTTCAAAGAGTCTATTTTCAGTTCTTTCTTCAGAAAGCTTTTTTGACTCTCTTTATCTATAAAGAGATGGCTTGATGTTATGTTATTCAATTCCTCTAGCACCATGCTCTAGTCCAGTGGTATTCAAACTTTTTCAGCGGGGACCCTATTTTTTCAGCTAGAATTTCTGCGAACCCTATTATTTTTGGCAAGAATTTCTCACAACCCCACCCTAAATCTTATGACACAACCTTAAAATCAGTAAATCAACAAATAACCTTCAATTATTACATTTTAAAAATAAAAGCAAACCAATAAATACGCTTATTCAATACAATTTTATTTTTCAAATATGTTTGTATATTGTCCCATACAGTATTGTGTACTCTTATTTTTTGGTTCCCCCAAAAATACAATACTTTGAAAAAAACTGCTTTAGTGTATAGCCTATTCCTTTGTCTTCTGAGGCACTATAGCATTTGGTATTTTCTTTAGCTTCAAGTCAATGAAAGAATACTCAACTTTATTATGACTTCAAAAGTCCATAGTGTGTGTGTGTGTCCCATGGGTATTTATTCCTGATTGTTGTGATACTTTATTTTGTCACAATTCTTAGTTGTAAATATAGCAGCAAGGAAGGGGTATTTTGAAGGGGATAGATGGGCTTGGTTGTACAAGGCACAATACGTTTGGAAAGAAGAAACATTACAAACGTCAACATATAAAACAATATTTACCTATAACCTAAGGTTATTAGTAATCTATAATCTTATTAGCATTGTGTTTGCTAGTAAAGAGTGGTGCAGTAGCTAGCTAGTTAACTATAAATAAATATAATATTAATACAGTATAATAAATATTTGGCCCCACCATTAGCCAAGTTAGTTCAATAACTAACTAAAGCTATTTACAGTTAGTTAGCAACTGCGTCAACACTATTTTGCTAGCTACCATAACGCTGTTGTCAAAACATGCCCTCAAAGATGACGAGTATGTCACAGTTGTGTTTACATTTTACAGATTGTAATAACTGCCGTTGTTTCTTTTTTTAACCCTTCGAGTCGCTTCTCTCGTCCACCACAGGAACAGCTAGAGCGACAACAGAGCGAAGCCAAGCTCACCAGTGAAAAACACACTGAAAAGAAACGTACGTTCCCACACACATCACACATCTGCTTTGAGATTTTTACTAATATATTATAGATAATACACAGATCTCAAATGCATTGAGACAAATGGTACCCTGTGACATGTTGTGTGGGTGGCTGTGTTGGCAGGGAGGGACAGTAAGACAGGTTTGTCAGGGACCAAGGGCCTGTCTGGATCCACGTCCGGGGCCACTTTGTCCACCTCCTCCGGTAAGACTGGGAATCAATCAATATCTAAATTTTTCCAATTGGGAAATTTGTCAACGTGTGAGAGAGAAACACTGGCAACACCGTTATACTAATAATCATTCATCAACTATTTATGAACAACTAATACATTTGTATTTTATTATTTGTAAAACACACATTTTTGAATATTTCATTTATTATAATGTGTTACCAAAACACTTCCTTGACCATGGATAGAAATGTATATGCCATTCTAGCGTAACTGTAAGGGGTTTCGATAACTCTGTTCCAACAGCACACAGCAACAGTAGCAGATTGTTGCACAAAGAGTGCAAAGAGCTTTCAACTCACAATGAATCAAGACAAAAAACATATGACCCAAAAAGATATCCTGTTCAACTTGGTCGAGATAGTGTTTGATGATGGTGATGATGAATCTACAGGTAAAGAGTTGAGGAAGGCCAAACTGGCACGGAGTCGGTCGCTTAGCAGCCATCCTACTACACCCAAGATGGCTAATCCGGACAAAACTCTGTAAGTAGTAACCTGCCCAACCATACCCCTAACCCAAAACATCACTATATCATTTTGCTGAAATATATTTTGATATAATATATTTAATCAAACATAAATGTATGGATATATATTTTTTAGAAATACTCTTTATAGGAACAGCTATGCTTTTCAATTGTTACTTTAAGAAAATAAATCTTGCACACACACACACGTTCCAGTAACATTTTATATTGGTGGGACCACGTATACGTTTTAGCCACTTGTTATTGCAAACCTAGTCTTGACACGTTCTTCCATCTTGGTTTTCCTCCCCAGAAAGGTCAAGGATTCAGGAAGCTGTCCTGGAAAAGGGAAGAACTCTATGCTTCCTATGAATGGTAATCAAGTAATCCTATTATAGTGCAGCTATCATCCTATTTTAGTGCAACTCATCCTATTTTAGTGTAGCTCCCCAGCTAGCACATTTGGTTTCAGATTGGTTCCGGGAACGAAGCACTCAATTTCCTGACTGGTAAAACAAAAAACAGAAAAGTACATTCTGAGAACAAAAGCAAACATTCCAGACTGTTCTGGGACATTTGTTTTTAGGTTGCATGGAGGTTCTGAGAACGTTTTACTCTAGTTACTTTAAAGTTTTTCCAGGGAGGTTTTATTGATACTCTGAGAACGGAAATTATAGGTTATTTGAAATAACATTCTGAGAACATTCTCTACATGTTGTAAAGATAATGGTTATTACTGAACATTTTCTTAAAACTAAGAACAAAATGTAAAGGTTATTTAGAAGTTATAAGACTTTTATTTTGGGTTAACATTTTTTTTAACTCCAAGCACACACAAATTAATTTGCTTAGGCATTAATCATATGAACACATACATTTTTTTATTCTGACACGGCATCAGTGAGATTCGAGCCTATGATCTTATCTTCTCTATCCATGGAATTAGTCCACTGCGCCACCAGGTTGGCGCCAGCGTGCCATGTTTTTTTACGCATACAAAGCTGTTCATTTTTGTCTATTCACTCATTAAGATCAGGTGTGGCCAATTAGTGGGTGCGGCCAACACACCTGAACACACTCTTAACAAGATATACTGTAGGATATACTGTAGGATAGAGTTTTGTTGAGGCTGAGAAAAGGAATGTTTTTGTTTTTAAATAACATTCTTAGAACATTCTCTGAAAGTTACTAAAGTTTTCTTGTGAAAATGAATAATGCCCTTTTAATAATAATAATAATAATAATATGCCATTTAGCAGACGCTTTTATCCAAAGAGCTGTTTGAAATACTGTTTTGGTGGGATGGAGTTTTGGCCTGCCTGGTGACATCACCAGGAAGAAAGAATTCCAAACCTCTGCCAATAAAAATTCATTTTTTTTGGTTTTCCCCTCCCATCTCAGACCACTCTCAGACAGTCCTAACAAAATTATTGCTTGAGAAATTGCTCTTTGCTAAGAAGCTACTTTTGTTTCTTTTTGACCATTTTAATTGAAAACAATCACAGTAAGGTTACCCAAAAATGATTTGATATTGAGATATTGGACCTTTAAAGTTTGATGTTAATGTGTAGAATTTCATTTTTTTATAACATTCACCGAATATTGGCAAGAACTGACATAAAATATACATTCTCTGAACGTTCTGAGAACATCGCTTAAGTCACACAATTTATTTGAATGTTCCCAGAATATGAGGTTAAACATGGGAACTTTTAGTGGAATGTTCTGTGGTAGTACTGAAATTCCCACAGAAGAACGTTGTTTCTTAAAGTTCTCTGAACAATTTGAGAACATTACTTAAAATAGAACCATGAAGAAACCAGTAGGAAACGTTATGCTGAAGTACTGACATTTCCACAGAAACATTCCCTCAGAAGAACATTGTTTTTTAAAAGTTCTCTGAACTTTTTGAGAACATTCCCAATGTCAAACCATTTGGAGAACGTTCCTAGAATATTACAAAAAATGTAATTAAATTTACATTTACATTTTAGTCATTTAGCAGACGCTCTTATCCAACTGAGCTACATCCCTGCTGGCCATTCCCTCCCCTGTAACCATGTGTGAACGTGTGTGAATGTAACCATGTGTGAACCTTTAGGAAACGTTCTGTTAAAGTAATGAAACATCCCCCAAAAATATTTTGGGGACATGTTTCAAAACCAAGCAACTATCCTGCAACATTCCCAAAAGGTTGTGGGAAGGTTGTATGCAAACTAACCATAGAACAACTATGCTCTTACCAAGCTCTAAGAAACATATGGTTCTAAGAACGTTTTGTGGTAGCTGGGTCATCCTTTTAAGTGCAACTCATTCTATTTTAGTGCAACTCATCAGATTTTAGTGCCAATGAACACAACTTGATAACCATTTGCAAACCTCAAGCGGTATGCTGTCCACATTCCAGCCCATCACATTATAAGCATGAGGAGAAATATACAGATCTCAATACCAAATTAAGGGAAAAGATCAGCCCTATCTAATTTTTGGAGTGAACTACCCCTACATACATACATACATATATACATACACACACAGGTGACCTTCCAAACCCCTGAGTTGGAGACCCCTGGAGCATTTGCTCGCTTCCTGTCAATTAAATTAGCATAAATAAATACATATTTTAGATCAAACTTTCCACTCTGTCACTTCCTAAGGTCACCTCAACACTTCGTCTGTCACATCATCCATCACCTCATCACTTCCTGTGTGTTTTGCAGCGGACGAGGCACTGCGGTCGCACCACTTCAGCGTGGCGGCAGCGTCGTCAGTGCTGTCCCAGACCCCCTCGGCTTCCTCCATGCCTGTCCTGATCCGCAGCAACACCACAAACACCCTGGTGGACCACCCGCACCAACACCAGCACCGCAGCAGCACCCTGGACCACCGCACCACCAACGGGGGCAAGGACACCCAGTCCAGAAAACTCTCCATGTGGGTCCTCTCTCAGCACTCACCGTCCTCCGTCCAATTCCAATAACCCTATTTTACTATGGCATCACCGTGTGAAAAACTGTGTGCCAGCCAGGGAAGTATTTACTAGGAACCAAACAGACCGAAACGGGGAGGTGGCTACCTGAACTTGTCCAATATGAAACTCTGGTTTTCGTTGCAAAACGTTTTTCTACAGTGTGAACTAATGCATACACCCCAGGTTCGATAGGAGACGTTAGTTCATCAAGTTCAGATATCTGCACTCACACCTACCTGGCTCCTTTATGATTTACACTATGAGTGAATCCACAATAATACCAAATCCAAACCAAATTGTTGATACAAATGTTTACACAGTAAATGGATTTTGGAAATTGCAGTATACACCATCCCACACCTATGCATTATTTTACCTCTGAGTACACAAATTATGTCAGTGACTTTTTGCATTGACACAATCAAAACCAACTTGAACGGTATATCTTTCAACGTGACTGCTTTGATATTAGTCTTAAGTGACTTTTTGGAACTGTAGTGAAGCAAACTTTCCAATCCCAATGAATACACCCCAGGTTCCAAATAGTAGAGAGTTGCTACTACTTAGCAAGAGAGACATTCCTGTGAACAACTTAACTCTGAGGAAAGAGATAAAACATGAAATGAATGCATTTTAGAATCAGAGTTGGGACAAAACTGTTCACTTTTAGAATTTGATGATGCTAAAAAGCTAACTTGCAACTGTTTTACCCCCCTTATACAGCTGTTGTTTACACAGTGATGTAATTGTGAAATAGGGTTACTCCAAGTCCACCCCCTACAGCCTCTGGTCTAGTCAACCCTCTAGGCCAGTGGTCACTAAGCCTGGTCCAAGGAGAGACCCATATGGGTTACAGGCTTTTGTTCTAGCCCAACACTAACAAACCTGATTCGCCTAATCAAGTGGTTGGCTTTGGGGATAAGTTAAAGCAGGTGTGTAGGTGCTGGGCTGGAGAAAAAGCCTACAAAGTACTCTGTGGGTCCCCAGGACCAGCATAGGAGAGCACCGCCCTAGAGAGCTACAAGGTGGACAGGCTTTTGTTCCAGCACTGACACGCCTGATTCACCTGATCAAGGGTACCTTGGATGAGCAGTTGATTAGTAGAATCAGGTGTGCCAGTGCTGTGCTGGACCTAACGTCTATATATGCACCCTTTAGCTCTCCAGGACCCCTATTGGTGACCACTGCCCCTTGGCGCTTGTGTAGATCTGAAAGGATGGGATAGGTGTAAGCAATATGGCGATAATTTCAACCTACCCAGTCACAGGGCAAGATTAATCTGTTTTCGTATTGCTAATGCTAACACCCAATTTATCCATTTCGATGTACATGAAAGGGTAGGGGGGCTAAGCATTGACTTTGAATACAATAACCATCATCTTCCACCAAGTCCACTATACAGATGCATCATAAAACAAGGCAAAACAAACCTTTACATTACATGGGCATTATTTCAGGTTTAGTAGTATAAGTTTATTAGGAATAACTTTAACTTAAGTGATTACTATGTACTGGGTATATAATTGATATAAGTACAGGCAGGTAACAGCACTTACCACATTATGTTTTCCAAGGCAAAAGTGAGCGCAAAGACAAACAAGTGAGGGCAAACGTGGTAAGTACTGCACATCAGCATGTTCTTAGAAAGCAGGATAAATATATGGGTTATTCCAATGGTACTGTAGTTCCTCTGGTCTAAAGCCTATGTAATGTAAAGTGTGGCCTAAAAGAATGTCGTGCCTTACTGCAGTTAGTCAGTTATTACCAGGGTTGTGTTCATTAGGCAGCAAATGGGGGGAAAGTCGGACTGAAACAGGGATGTACTAACTGGACTTTTTGTTTATGTTGAAAAAAATGTGCTTGCCCTAATGAACATGACTCTGTTGAACTGTAGTCTTTTTGGATGATTACACAATCCCAACGATTCTGTCAATGCATGTTCAGATATCTGCACGCGCACCTATAGTTTGTTGGCTTCTTTATGTTTTCTACACTTTATGATACACTTTGAGTGAATCCACACAAATAGCAAATCCAAACAAAAATGGTAAATGCATTTTGGAAATTGCAATAGACACCATCCGACATCTATGCATTGTTTTACTTCTGATGAGTACACAAATTGTCAGTGACTTTTTTGGAACTGCATTGAAACAATCAAAACAAACTTCAACGGCATATTTTTCAATGTAACTTCTTTGATATCAGTCTAAATTACTTTTTGGAACTGCAGTGTAGCGAACCTTCCAATCCCAAATCCACCCATGCCCAGTACCCTCAGTACTTGTGTAGATACTTTTGTATATATAGTGTATGTGGACACCCCTTCAAATTAGTGGATTCTGCTATTTCAGCCACATCCGTTGCTGACAGGTGTATAAAATTGAGCACACAGCCATGATATCTCCGTAGACAAACATTGGCAGTAGAATGGCCTTAATGAAGAGCTCAGTGACTTTCAACGTGGCAGCATCATAGGATGCCACCTTTCCAACAAGTCAGTTTGTCAAATTTCTGCCCTGCTAGAGCTGCCCCGGTCAACTGTAAGTGATGTTATTGTGAAGTGGAAACGTCTAGGAGCAACAACGGCTCAGCCGCAAAGTGGTAGGCCACACAAGCTCACAGAATGGGACCGGTGAGTGCTGAAGCACGTAAAAATAATCTGTCCTTGTTTGCAACATTCACTACCGAGTTCCAAACTGCCTCTGGAAGCAACGTCAGCACAATAACTGTTAGTCGGGAGCTTCATGAAATGGGATTCCATGGCCGAGCAGCCGCACATAAGTCTAAGATCACCATGCACAATACCAAGCGTCAGCTGGAGTGGTGTAAAGCTCGCCGCCATTGAACTCTGTTGCAGTGGAAACACATTCTCTGGAGTGATGAATCACACTTCACCATCTGGCAGTCCGACGGACGAATCTGGGTTTGGCAGATGCCAGGAGAACGATACCTGACCCAATGCATAGTGCCAACTGTAAAGTTCACTGGCCCCTTCCAGTGAAGGGAAATCTTAACGCTACAGAATACAATGACATTCTAGACGATTCTGTGCTTCCAATTTTGTGGCAACAGTTTGGGGAAGGCCCTTTCCTGTTTCAGCATGACAATGTGCCCGTGCACAAAGCGAGGTCCATAAAGAAATGGTTTGTTGAGATTATTTTGTTTAATTAGGGGGTAGATCAGCTTTACATTGTAGAATAATAGTGAAGAAATCAAAACTAGGAAATAACACATATGGAATCATGTAGTAACCAAAAAAGTGTTATATTTGAGATTCTTCAAATAGCCACCCTTTGCCTTGATGACAGCTTTGCACACTCTTGGCATTCTCTCAACCATCTTCACCTGGAATGCTTTTCCAACAGTCTTGAAGGAGTTCCCACAAATGCTGAGCACTTGTTGGCTGTTTTTCCTTCACTCTGCTGTCCGTCTCATCCCAATCCATCTCAATTTGGTTGAGGTCGGGGGATTGTGGAGGCCAGGTCATCTGATGCAGCACTCCATCACTCTCCTTCTTGGTAAAATAGCCCTTACACAGCCTGGAGGTGGGTTGGGTCATTGTCCTGTTGAAAAACAAATGATAGTCTCACTAAGCCCAAACCAGATGGGATGGCGTATCGCTGCAGAATGATGTGGTAGCCATGCTGGTTAAGTGTGCCTTAAATTCTAAATAAATCACAGACAGTGTCACCAGCAAAGCACCCCCACACCATAACACCTCCTCCTCCATGCTTTACGGTGGGAAATACACATGCGGAGATCATCCGTTCACCCACACCACGTCTCACAAATCTCCAATTTGGACTACAGACCAAAGGACAGATTTCCACCGTTCTAATGTCCATTGCTCGTGTTTCTTGGCCCAAGCAAGTCTCTTCTTATTATTGGTGTCCTTTAGTAGTGGTTTCTTTGCAGCAATTCGACCATGAAGGCCTGATTCACACAGTCTCCTCTGAACAGTTGATGTTGAGATGTGTCTGTTACTTGATTTCTGAGGCTGGTAACTCTAATGAACTTATCCTCTGCAGCAAAGGTAACTCTGGGTCTTCCATTCCTGTGGTGGTCCTCATGAGAGCCAGTTTCATCATAGCGCTTGATGGTTTTTGCAACTGCACTTTAAGAAACTTTCAAAGTTCTTGAAATGTTCCGTATTGACTGACCTTCATGTCTTAAAGTAATGATGGACTGTCGTTTCTCTTTGCTTATTTGATCTGTTCTTGCCATAATATGGACTTGGTGTTTTATGAAATAGGGCTATCTTCTGTATACCCCCCCTACCTTGTCACAACACAACTGATTGTCTCAAACGCATTAAGAAGGAAAGAAATTCCACAAATTAACTTTTAAGAAGGCACACCTGTTAATTGAAATGCATTCCAGGTGACTACCTCATGAAGCAAATGCCAAGAGAATGCCAAGAGTGTGCAAAGCTGTCATCAAGGCAAAGGGTGGCTATTTGAAGAATCTCAAATATAAAATATATTTTGATTTGTTTAACGCTTTTTTGGATACTACATGAGTTTTGATGTCTTCACTATTATTCTACAATGTAGAAAATAGTAAAAATAAAGAAAAACCCTTGAATGAGTAGGTGTTCTAAAACTTTTTACCGGTAGAGTATATATACAGTGGGGGGAAAAAAGTATTTAGTCAGCCACCAATTGTGCAAGTTCTCCCACTTAAAAAGATGAGAGGCCTGTAATTTTCATCATAGGTACACGTCAACTATGACAGACAAATTGAGGAAAAAAATTCCAGAAAATCACATTGTAGGATTTTTAATGAATTTATTTGCAAATTATGGTGGAAAATAAGTATTTGGTCACCTACAAACAAGCAAGATTTCTGGCTCTCACAGACCTGTAACTTCTTCTTTAAGAGGCTCCTCTGTCCTCCACTCGTTACCTGTATTAATGGCACCTGTTTGAACTTGTTATCAGTATAAAAGACACCTGTCCACAACCTCAAACAGTCACACTCCAAACTCCACTATGGCCAAGACC